TTTGTCTGTTGGATCTCGTGCTTCGTTTGCTTCTTGTCCATTGCCCGTCGCACCTAGAAAAGAAAACAATAATAAGGAGGGAGCGTGGCGCTAGCTGATCAGTAGATATGGTGGTGGTCACTAAGGTGAATCGCCCCATTCTGCAGGAACAGCAATATGCTATTTGAAGGCTCGAGATATTTCTGATTTTTATGAGGGCCTAGATCTTTATCTTGAAAAAGATAATAATGAACGCCTAGACAGATCATGCTTCTACCTTTAAATATATACCATTCGCTCAGCCTATTGTTGAGATTCGACCGCGTGGGCTCTGCATAGATTTATGGAGCAACTTATAAATTAACTTGCTGTCCATTGTCGGGTCTTTACATACCACATCACAATGTCTTATCTCATTCATTTTCTAATAACGTCTTTACTCGATCCTCATTATATTCCACTAAACCTAACATTTTATAGCTCTTTATGAATTTGATTCGACTTATTCTGTTCCTATTCTCTGTAGGGTACGGTTGTGCATCAAATGCGCAAAAAGGTAAAAAATAAAAAGAACCGGCATGAGGAAAAATGTATTAAAACCAAAAGTGGACACCATGTTAGTACGAACTTTACGAGAAGCATTATACATTGCAAATGAACGTTGTCAGCTTAGGGAGTTTCTTTGATAAATGAATTTACTAATGATACTTGCACTTACCTATTTCACTGTACTTTATTGATTCACCTTAGCACTTTTACTTTTCTAAAACAGCTTTCACTCCCTTGTAAACGTTGTACTTACCTCAATATTGGTTGGTTATCGTATGCCTACAACCACGAGATGAAAACGAAACCAAGTCGATTTTCCCGCGAAACCTGGAGGAAAATTGTACAATTCAACAACTATACGGCCTGGTTCAGACAATGAGTGTAATTATATATATGTATCAAATATTTAACTGTTTAAACATTATTAACTTGTAGACAATCTACGGTTTGATATTATATCATACTTGATCGTGCCTGTAAAAACGGCATGCATTCTCATGTAAATTTATATGTTTATATGAGAATGCACATTATTATTATATGGCCAGAAACACTTCACAAGTGTTAATAGCAAACCGATTATTTAAAACACTACTAAGTTTGCTTAGGACTTTCAAGAAACCCTTAGAAAGGCTGCTTGGACGATATCGAGCTATCCTCCCGCTCGTTCCAGCTCGAAATAACACTCTTGGTTGCCTTTTGGCCGTTGTAGCGGCAAATAATTCATACAAGACATGAATTTCGGCCACACAACCTGCTGACCACTTGGTCTGGCCAAACTGATCTGGCCACTGGCTCTGTCAGCCAAGTCTCACAAACTGTCAATGTCCAGCTCTCGCTACGCTGGACCTCACACTGTCCCTCGAAGACCTTCAGAAACACTTTGTACTAACCAACAGGAAAACCAGAACACTGACTGGTGACTCAAGAATCCTTCATTCTTACGCCAACATATAACCAACAACAAGGTTATTACACAAGATCCAAGAATAAATGTTATAACAATAAGTCGTGATAATACTTCTGATAGTTTTTTTATCTTCCTTGAACAGCGAACGATGAGACTGCTGGATTGATGACTCCCGCGAAAAATATGGAGGGGTTGAGCTTGAGCAAAACAACCGTGAATCGATCGTTCAATCTTCAACTACATTGACAGTTTGGTATGATCAAGAAGTGAGAAGACAACAACACTCGCAATAGGAAATGAGAAAATTTGAGAAGGTAAACGAGCAGATAAGTAAATAAATTGTAGGTGGCTTCTGTCAATGGAGGTGAACATTGAACGTTTATTTTTGGAACTAGTAGTCATTGGTGGGCGACTCGAAGGCGCGAATGGTTCGGTCGTGTACAAGTTCGACGAGGACGACCAAAAACGAATAAAAGTATTTACTGTTCTCCGCTTTAATTGCCAAACAATGTAACTTCCTTCTTACAATACTTGTGTTTTGGAGTTAAAGTCAAAGAAAGCACATAGTTTTTACCGGTGCGGAGCGTCTCTGTAACAATAGGAACTTGGGGATAAGTTCCTTGACAGATTCCTAATTTGGCTGAATAGACGGTTTATCGGCATGCCATTGAATGAATATCTGACCTTAGCTGAATGCTTTCTGATAGGATCCCGCATAAAATAATATGTCATCATTTTTAACGCATGTTGTGATTGATTTTTTGGTCAATTATTTCAAACGCTGTTAGCCGTCTTTTTTGTTGTAGAAATGTATAAATACCATGTACCGTTTTCCTAATGTTGATGACAGTATACAATCACAGGCCATCCTTTGACTTTTGATATTTGCGTGGCTAAGTGAATCGCAAGGCACTACGGGAAAATAGGAATATTAGCCAGGCGCAGACATAAAATGTGACTACGGTTTTCATTCAGTTCAGTGAAGTTATAACACTTTCCAGTGGTAGTGCCTTCCCCTTGGCTTTCGGAAAAACATTCCAGGTGGCGCGAAATGAACTGACAACGCACTCTAGACTTAGCAGTTTGATGCAAGATATTGGTTCGCCATGAGGGAGTCCTCCCTAACGTGACGGCAGGACAACTCTGTTTGGATGATTCTGGACATTAGTGGTTAAATAAGCATTAGCCAAGACATCGCTGTCCTGTGACTGCTAAACATGAAAAGAACTAGTTTCTGTAACCATTTCGTCAAATGAATATTGTCAAAGAGCACATAATCTCTTTTTTCGTGCCTCTCTGAGTCACTTCTAGAAGTTGGATGTCTCTTTCGAGTATCTGCGGAGAGATGATAAACCCTCGGTCGAAAATAGCTTGTGTACAGCCGGAGTTCACGTGAGCGATAGAGCATACTGAGTTGTCTGTGCATGAGGTCTTTGAACCACGAATTCTCTGATTATATCAAAATCAGAACGAGACAAGGGCCTGACACATTATATTCTAGGCTTATAACGAAGCAGTATAATAGTAAAGGGAACATTGATGATTTAGTTCCCAACCCACCTACTAATTTGTACATCACACCAAGAAAGTTGGATTGGGCATTGAATGTACATCTCTGCGGTATTTCGTCTAAAGAAAGGATAGCCAGACCAACGTCAAAATCGACATGTTAAGTCCCAGTGACTTCCAAGCTTTTCACTCCTGCTATTCGAACCTTTTTAGCCAAATGGCTTACGATAATTGCTTTTTTTCCTTCACGTCCTCAGTGGAACATAGGGCTCCAAGCTAGAGGCTTCAAGATTCCGTAGCAGTGTTGATTTTTACAGGATAGGGTTGCTAGCCTCATGCCCAACCTTTCCTCTTTACCAGTCTCACTACTAGCTTAGCAAGGTAAAGGAGTGCACCAGCCGGGGCCTGAACCCCGGAACATGTGCATGGTCGGCGAGCGTCTTAACCGCTTTGCCACCGACGCACGATAATTGCTTAATCATAGTTAAATTCTAATTGAGAAATCCAATAACTGGTGAGCCTGTAGGCTTAGCAATCTTTAATCTGATTTCGTCCCAGTTTATGCCATTAGCTAGATTACGTTGTTTTATTTGCATTGCAGATATTTTATTTCTCATTTTACACTTAGGTTATTCTTCCAACTTTCTTTCTGATCGTCAACCAATTAACAAACAAGGCTAAACTACACATATCATTGAAGATCCAATTTCCAGTCAAAAAGTGTATTAGACAGCTCTGTGAACATACTACAGTTAAAGTCTACCACACATGTTTAGTTATCCTACTTAAAACAGGTAATTAACGAACTCCGTATTGGGCGAGGATAAAGCAAATATCAAGGTGCATCACAAATCAAATGCCCCAATAGATAATTTAGGTGTGTAAAAGAACAACTGAACACCTTTAAGACAGCTAGACTTAACCCGCGCAATACAAACCCCAAGAAGAGTAACTGCCTGACTTAATTCAAAACGTAATTGACTACCATTCAAATAGGTGGAAAGAAAGGTAGGTTTGTTTTGGTGATAACTTGTATACTAACCCTTTCGTGCTTCATATGGTTTAATAGTCCTCTGATTGATTTTCGTCACACTGTGTACATCACAATGAACATTCCCTCTCCATTTGCTCAAGACAAAAAACAGGTACAAGTCGTTGCTAGCAAAAAAAAATGAAACCAGTTTATTATTATCATCATCGTTTGAAGACAATATAAGTAAGTGAAAGAAATAAAACAATCAAACGTAAATAAATAAAAGCTTAGCAGAATTAAAATGTTCATTTGAATTAGGCGCCTAAATTACAAATACTATACAAAATCATATCAAATATATGTATATGAACTCCGAATATATTCTTCATTGCATTACACAGACAACACAACTTTCACCACCTTTAATTTCAATAAATATTTTGTCCATTTATTATTTGATAAATATAAAGAAAATTACATTAATTTTGTAAGTAGTCAGTTGTTTTTTTTCAAAAAAAAATATATATTCAAACAAAACAAAAACTTTGAATGGGAAATAAATCCCGTTATATAAACAGATAAAAATTAGTAGAAAGATATCAGTGATAAGAAATCAATCGGATCTCTTTGCATTTCACACGCCATGATGGATAGACACACACACACACACGCAAAAAATACCCACCTCCACACACAAGCGGGACTACATTAAAAAAATTCGAGTCAAACAGAAGTAAATTTTCGAGGCACGGAACCAACTCGGTAACCCATAAAGAATACTAATCATCTCTCCCTTTGTTCAAATATACAGACGTAGAAAAATTAGTCAAGGCCAAACATAATCAAGGTCATGAAAGAGGGAGAGAGATAAACAAAGAATAAGCAGATGGAGGCAATTTCAAATAAAAATGAAACAAGTCATTAGAATACATTATATTAATTTCAAAATAATAAAAATATATTTACAATATAGAAAAAAAGGGGAAAAATCACTTAAAATATTAAACCACATTTCGGCATACAAAGCCAACGACAACCTAGAAGAAGAACAGCAAAAACCTTCAGTAGTATTCCGATTGGTCAATGTACGATTGGACGTGTTGTCTGTTGCTGTGGTTGTTGCTTAGATCGATGATAATTTGTTGCTGTTGCTGTTGAATTCGCTACTACTACTCGTCCACGTGGTTGCCAGACAAATTTATGCCCACTGTGTACACGCATTTTAATACTAGCGCCTTCAGCAACATGTAGTGTTTCAATAACTGTTTGCATTAAATTCTGTGCATTACCAACTAATGATTCTGTGTTTTCTTGGTCTTCTTTAGAACCTAAGCAAAAAACAAACAAACAAACAAACAAAACAACAAAATTCAATACACTTATATTCCCATAGGGAAGAAAAGAGAAATAATAATGAATAGTAATGAATAGTCATTATCAATATGAAATGATGATGCAATGCACAATTTATTCCATTGATTAAGCAATCAGTAATAGACAATACCTGTAGAATCATTCATGCAATAAAGACAAAAGAAAGAAGTGGTAAAAATGACCTCGACTGGCATGAATTATGTATGTATAATCGGTTATCCTTCTACAGTTGTTGTGTTCTCATTGAGTTAAATGATTTAATTGTGGCGCTTTTATTCTCCTACTGAAGAAAACAACATCTTCAGTGAAGTGAACTTAAGGAATTCTCTATGACTGATATAATTGTTTCCTCTATTGACCTTCATTTTGATTGGTTGTTCTTGTTATTTTCCTTATGATGATTGTATTAACTTCTATTCTCATTATTATTACCTTCAATTACTAGAGGAACATAGGGCTTCAGCTGCCCAAGTCTCCATTGCCTTCGGTTCTTTGCCAACTTTTTCACCCCGTTCCAAGTCTGCCCACGTGCTTTCATCTCCTCTTCACATGACCTCCTCCAAGTCACCCTCACACTGACGACCAACTCGCCGCTTCCCTTTCAATCGGGTTCCACTCCAGCTATGGCTTGTCTAGTGATGTCACTTGATGGTTTGTTTCCGCAGAGTATGGCTAGCCAATCCATCTCCATTACTTCCTGCTTATTTGTTGTACAATCGGTACCCGCTGGGTTGGTTCGCTCCCAGAGGTCCCTATTGCTGATCTTTTCTCGCTGGCCATCTGATCTTGAGTATTGAGCAAAGGCAGCTGTTAATGAAGGTCTGTAGTTTGTTTGAGGTGCTCTTTATAACGTGCCAAGTCCCTGATCCGTAACTCCATTATAGATAGGATTTTATTTTGATAAATCACACACAGTGTTGTACAGTATCCGTATAGTAGCACTGACTTCACATTGGAGTTGAAAATCTGGATCTCATATTGATTCTTTTTAAACCTCACATTTTTGTGATCACAAAATGTCAGTTAAAAGACACACACGAACATGCATTCACTCTTATATGAACAATAATGAACAATTATCTAACTGGGACAGTAAAAAAAAGTTCCAAAAAGGTGGAACAACGCCAGAGAGTTTTCAACTGTGTTTCAACATAGAACTTTGCATAGAGGTGAATTAGTTCAAGTCGCCACATTCCACGCAGCATACAAATGGAAAGAAAAGCACACAAAAGAAATTCGATAGGGCTATAGTATGTAAAGCGTTGGCGGCACGGAGGTAGCATGCTCGCCAACCAAGGGTCCAAGGTTCGACCCCCGGCCGCCGACAAATTCTTCCTTTACCTCACTAAGCCAGTAATAAGACTGATAAAGAGGGAAGGTTGGGGGGGGGATGAGGCTAGCAACCACATCCCGTAAAAATAAAAAAACCCACTGCTACCGAAACTTCAAGTCAATAACTTGAAGCCCTGTAATTCCACTGGGGACGTAAAGAAATGCCAAAATAATAGTGTGTAGAAATGTAAGAGGAGGAGAAGAATAGTAACCTGAAGAACGATGAAGAATTGATGTATCTGGGAGATGACGAAGACTGTGAATGCATCTACGCCATTAGGAACGATTTTGAGCCATATCAGCAGTAATCCCCAACTATTGATTCTTAGAGTCTTTCAAGAATCCCAAACAGGCAGTCCACAACATCCTGTGTGGGTCAAACTAACTGTCGATGATTACAAGGATTAATTTCATTTTAATTTGACCGCTTCTAACACTTTTCCAATGTAATCCGAAATCGGGTAACACTGCTCGTTAAGGAAGGCGATGGGCTCAGAATGTGCAACACGTGTCCTAACCATTTCACAATCGATTTACCTTCGTAACCTCATCAACTGACCTCTCTTCTTTACCCTAGTGCTTAACACCTAAATTCAACACATTACTCGCCATATTGTACCACTTAAACAACTATGATTCAAGAAATCTGGCCTTACCTCATCTCCCACCGTCGCTGGCCATGTTTCACATACAACCACGCAAAAAGACGAAGCTAACTTATGTGCAGTACACACATCCTTTGATTGACTGTCAGAGAACTGTTGGCGACTGAGTAGTCAATAGAATTACTTCGGAATTAGTAGAAATTTGGGCCAAAAGGTCAAATAACCAGGTCAACAGGAGTGTCTAGGTGAACACGATCATATGTTATCCAATAGGACACTGGAAGCTATGCAGTTAAACCATCCACCTGAAAGAACAAAACCACACCACCCTAGTCGAGGATGCTTGTTTAGAAGGACAACAAAAGCTTCTTAATTAGATCCACTAACTGAGAGAACAAAATCAAACAGAAACATCTATCGCCTAGATGTATCATTGGTGAGAAATGATCAGAAAGGTCACATGTTCGAATGAGAATACACAAGATTAGAAACATATTTACTGTTTTATAGTTTTGAGTATCCAAAACTTCAGTAAATGAAGCAAGATTCGAAGGTTAAATAGAGAATCTCAACTGATTATTTAGACGGTTAAAAGCAGGAAGTCCTCAAACAGTCGGATAACTAAATAAACATACTACGAGTCATAGTTTCTCCCGGAAGTTCACAAAAATTGCCTCCATCTCTCTCTTTCTCTAATCATACACAGAGTAATCTTGTCACTAGTGAAAGCCGATAAATAATGAGAGGTGAAACGGCTTCATTCATTAGCGTGTTTTCAATTTTTCCTTAGTTCAAAAATAAAACAATGTAAAGCTCAACTATCAATCCAGTTCAACTCAACAATGTGTTCAATAGTAATCGATTCAGTTTAAAACAAAACAAGCAATAAAGAACGAACCACACACAAAAAGACAATCCACTATAGAATAGATTTCTCATTCCATCAAAATACACACACAGGCTTCAAAATATATGTGTAAACAAGAATCATATACATGCAATCTACACTGAGCATTGACAGTTCATCACCAGCCAAGTGAAGCACTCTTGAAGCTCGTAATTAGCCGACAGACACTACACTCAGAGAATGCGGAAGGATGAGACAAAAGCATCACCATAGGTATCAAAACTTCAAAATGGCTAGAAACCGGATGTTCCACTCTAAGAACGCAAAAATAGTGTATGTATCCAATAGTAGTCGTGGTGTGATGAGTGCTACTTATAATCAGATATAAGTAGTATATCACTGAACGAATTCAGAAAAGTAGCAATATGTTTTGGGCCCTGGAAAAAGCAGAATCCAACAAGCTATCCAATGTAATGATATTCAACCAATTTGAAAATGATATGCAAATAAAGACATAAAGACAAAGTAAACCGAAAATTCAAGTACCTGATGGTATTAGATGGTTGGAGGCAATCGGCCACAGGAAGCCTTGGACACCACCTAGGTTTCGTGCTAGTTGACACTCACCAGTAGTCAGCAAGGCGTATCTGCAACTTTGAAGGAACTGATGTCCCTTCTGAGATTCGAACCCGCGTCACCCAGGGTTGTAGTCACAGACGTTACCACTGAGCTATTCGGGCTGGCTCGCGATTGACCTCCTGTAGGACTGTAGTGGATATTTTGATTTGACACTAGTCAGTAACTAGTGTGATGCGTCTAGTCCCCTTATTGGTGTAGACTGAATTCAAGTACCTACAATGCGTCTCTCCCTAAATAAAGATTGCCATCGAACCTCATCAGTTTTTTCTTCTTTACATTAGGAGTGGCATAAATGCAAATATATTTTTTTTAACTAACTAACTAACTAAGACCTCAGAAGTAACATTTATTTTAAGACTTCATAGATTTCAGTATAGACGACTTCATGTGACAAAACTCACATCACTTAAAGGAGGCATTGAAAACTTTATAAAGGAGTTGACAAGCTATTTCACCCTATCTAATTTAAATTTATTCATCACAGTAGTGTGTGTATATCCAAAGTGACACATCAGAGGAGTGAATTGAATAAAACACATCAACTGAATAAGGGACAACTGATAACGCATCGCAGAGTTTGGTAAAGGATAAAGTGTGCGCTATTTGTGATGAATAGGTCATAAGGACAAACTGCAATGAATTTATCTCTGGCTTCATTGTGATCAGTTGAAGTTTACTGTCAGTCACACACATAGTGACAGTATTATCAAGTATGTATAAAATTCCATATTAGTTTGTTTATTAGATGTATCACACAGTCAGTGAAACAGTATTAGTATTTACTGGATGACACAGTTTCGAACAAAATTTATAGTTCGTAATCATATCAATTACAATCACACGACTTTGAAACTTGAGTTTCATAGTTTTCTTTTGCCCTCTCCTATTTGTCGTCGTTGGGGTAGTAGAATTTTCTAGATATCCGACCAGACAGGTGTTGAATCATTCCTATTACACGTATTCTCTTCAGTTGATTCGATAAAGAAAAGCTTCTGTCATCAATCTCGCCCTTCATCCTGTAACATCAGACTTTGAAACTGTCATCCTATCCCATCCTATCGTATGGTAGTGTGTAACTGCATGTAGTGAGTGCTATAGCTGAACTATTCTCTAGATTTCTTATCTTATTCATGTCGATTAATCTAGATTTTGCTGCTAGGTTTTTATGCTCGGCTAGTCTCACTGCCCCTGTTATACTACTTTGACCCATCTATGTATTTGACCTGACAATCATCGCAGGCAGGGTACTAGTGTGGTGAGAGCAGGCTGCTAGCCGATTGGTTGGCACTAATCTACGTTAAGGTCTAGGTCACTAATATGGGCCGTGAGAAAATATGAACAAGCCTGAGTCAACAACCAATCACAGCAAAGTTAACGTGGCAAAATATGATTCGCAGAGAGAACTCTATTTGTCAAGGAATCCCGAAACAACCAATCAGAAGCCTGCGTTTGTCTACCTAAACAACCAATCAGATGACTGCGCTTGTCTATAATAATGTTGTTGAAATATGTATAAATACGTGTTGATTTTCATAATAAAACGATCTGTTGCTTCGCCCTTGTCTTCTGTTGTTACATTTGGTGTCGCTGCCTACCGACAAATGGAAAGCCTATGCCCTGCTGTTTTTGATGGAGACATATGGATCTTCGGGCAGGACTTCAAGGCTTCTGCGCAGTTGAGTGGCGTTCAAGATCTGCCAGCGATGGAGCTGCTACTTGAGACGCTGCTGGGAGGTCGGGCGAAAGCAGCATATGAAGGTGTCGGCCGAAGTATGGACGAATGTTCGACAGGGTCAGGCAAACAGTTTCCAAAGTGGGAAGGACCATATATGGTCACTTCGAGATGGGGTTACGCAGACACAGTCGCAATGGCGAACAATAAGAGGCGCGTGAACGTCAGCGAGCTCCAGAAACGGATACAGCGAGACAAGCCAACGATGACGCCTGCACCAAGTAGATCAAGCCGACTTCAGTCGCACGTATTTGACGGGGGGACGAGTGTGGTGAGAGCAGGCTGCTAGCCGATTGGTTGGCACTAATCTACGTTAAGGTCTAGGTCACTAATATGGGCCGTGAGAAAATATGAACAAGCCTGAGTCAACAACCAATCACAGCAAAGTTAACGTGGCAAAATATGATTCGCAGAGAGAACTCTATTTGTCAAGGAATCCCGAAACAACCAATCAGAAGCCTGCGTTTGTCTACCTAAACAACCAATCAGATGACTGCGCTTGTCTATAATAATGTTGTTGAAATATGTATAAATACGTGTTGATTTTCATAATAAAACGATCTGTTGCTTCGCCCTTGTCTTCTGTTGTTACACTAGATAAACTTATTTGTTTTGTTTTAAAGGCTCCACTGGCAGGATCCTTTAACCGACAAAGCTTGTTTCTAATTGAGTTTGTGGGTTTGACCCAAATAAGACAAGAAATCTAGAGAATAGTTCAGCTATACCGCTCACTATATGCAATTACACATAACCATAAAATATGATGGGATAAGATTACAGTTTTAAAATCTAATGCAACTAACAGGGTAGAGGGAGAGATTGATAACAGACGCTTTGTTTATCGAATCAACTGACAGTGAATACGTGTAATAGGAATGATTCAACACCTGTCCTCTCAGATATCTGGAGAATTCTACTACCACGCCTACGACGACAAATAGGAGAGGAGAAAAAAACCCCATAAAACTCAAGTTTCAAAGTCATGTGATTATAATTGATGAAATGATTATAAACAATGAATAAATTTTGTTCGAAACATTGTCATCCAGTAAATAATACTGTTTCACTGACGATTGTGTGATACATCTAATAAACAAACTAATATGGAATTACAGGATTTTCATCATGATCTGACATTAGTTAGAGAACCATTGGAAAACCAACTGGGAGTACTGGACAGCTGTTTTGTCAACCTAGTTTGGGACTCTTCATCAGTACGTATCCACCGGGATTCGAACCCAGGACCTTCTGGTTACAAGGCTAGCGAGCTCGTATACCATTAAGCCATTAATTCCCAAACTAGGACGAAACAACTGTCCAGTACTCCCAGGTTTTCCAATGGTTCTCTAACTAATGTCAGATCATGATGAAAATCCTTTAACCAATCAAATCCCTACAAACCAACACTTCAATATGGAATTACTTACTACCACAGTGCCCGAATGCTTCGGTGGTACAACGGTTAGGACGCTCGCCGACCATGCATATGGTCCGGGATTCGATTCCCGACCGACGCACTCCCAAACATCGCTAAGTCAAGCCTCTAGCTTGAAGCCCTATGTTCCACTGGGAAAATGAAGGAAAAATTATAACTTACTATTACAGTGCCCAAGTTTTACACATATATTAATATGTATAAAATTGATGTAACAGTTTATTGACTAACAGACACAAACACACATGCGCATGCACGCACGCACACATACACACGCACAAAAAGACAAACAGATGCACACACGAGAGCTATCTATTCTGTGGGGGAAAAAACACAATCAACACTCAAGATAAGAAAACGCATACAGAGATTAGCCAATCAGTAGAGAATAGCAGTAGCAACACTATCACGAAGGCGAAGTGTTGTTAGTAGACAATGCAATGCAGTCGACATTCATCAAAAGAAAGTGTTGAAGAGTTTAAATTAGTATTTTAAATAAAAAGGAAAGCAATCAAAGGTGTTATACACACACACACACACACACACAATGCTCTATTAACACTCCAATTGATTGATAAACATGCAGTAAGAGAGAACAAAAGAAACGAGAAGAAGAAAAAGCAGAATTACCACAATCCAGTTCCGATTGTAATGGAGCTTCGAACCATGAATCATCTTAGAGAATAAAGATAAGGGTATTATTTTAAAGAAATGCATTTATTGTATACACACACACAGACATATAAGTTGTTTGTGACTGCGTGAGTACTTGTGTGTGTGTGTGTGTATGATAATGTAAGGAATGATTTCTTTGATAAGCAAACAAGGTATTGAACAGTGCTTTTTTTCATATAATGATGTCATCGGAATGATAAACAATCGAGGAATATTCTATTTGTGAATGATAATGATATGTCACCCAGTTAACTGTTTACATTACCGTCATGTCATTTGGCAATAAGCCAGAATTATTATGCAAGGTTTAATGCCTAGTATCTATCTGAATGTACAGGCATCGACAGTAGGAATACTAAGCTTCGAAACAATGCCTCAGCTAGTTAGAAATGAAACTCAGCTCTCCTGGATCGATAAAGACCATAATTAGCTGTTTGATTCTAATGTTAACAAATTGAAATCTACCAAATAAGAAAATGGGCCTGACGCCTACGCAGTTGCAGGTGACTGTTGATTTTAACTTGCACAACATTAAGGTCAATCAGTTACGCTTACTTGGCATGGCAAATACAGAATGCATGAGAAAGCTAACAGTTGGGTGTTATACACTCCCCTTTGATAGGTAATCGTATAATATAACTGTGATAAAGATGATACTAGTTGTCAAATGTGTCAAACAAACCTGTTTGTTTTCATTTTGAGATTTCACTAGTAACTATGTGACGCCAGAATAGAAGAGTTGTTATTAACGGAATGTCTCTTTGCAATTTGATATACACATAGTAGGGTAATTGATTATGTGACACAAAAAGAAGACAAAGAAACCCATTAAGAAAAGTAGAGTAGATATGATGGAGAAGATTTGTCGTTCAGGTGGATGATTTTGATGTGGTTGTGTTCTCTGAGCTAGCTGGATAGTTAATTTGCGAAGCTTTCATTACCCCACCACTAGACAGCATCTTCACCGCATACTTCAATTTCTTCAAGTGAGCTTTTAGATTTCTCCACGAGTTCACCATTAGTCATCTCTCTGGTGACCACCTTGAACCTCGTGATTGGTTGTTTTTGTGTGTTTTTACACCTTCTAGGCAGCTACTTGTAATGGAACTGATTGTTTCTTCGACTTGAACTTTGACCCTTTGTATGTGAAGTTTCTTTCTTATCGGTTGATAAATTTTGTCTATCTCTATGTGTTTATTGATTGATGATTCACTGGAATACCAGGCTGGCTTCTAAAATTCTCTAGCATTCTTTTTGTTTCCTCTGTCTAATATTTGAATGTTGGTTGCCCCAGTGAAAGTGATGTCCGTGATTGTCTGTATGTAGTGAGTGATATGAGAGAGTGGATGTCACGTCTTATCACGGCTACTTAGTTTTTGTTCATGGATACGAAGACGAAGAGGACGTCGTCCACTTTGGCCAATGTAGTGTTTTTTGCAGTCACTGCTACTTATTTTGTAGATGATGTTGGTTTTATCTTCTTTCGTTGTCAAGTGTCTTTTGGTTGACATACATCCAGCTGAGTGAAGTGATTTTGTCGGTTTGTGTGCGATGTCAATTCCTAAAGGTGTTTTTGAAGAGTCTTGCAGTGATTTCAGAGATGTCTTTTACATATATGGTAGGGCTATTTTCTCTGTGTTTTCATTGTGGACCTTTGATTTGGTAGGTTGGTTTGTGTGTGTGTGTGTGGGAGATGTCTTTTGATGAAGTTCCATGTAGATATCCATTCTTTTGGAAGACTGGCGTCCATGAGATATCTTTTTTCAATTTTCCTTAAGGTGAGAATGCTGCAATGAGTCATGACTAACCCTCTGGAATAGTGTTTGTATACAATTCTTTTTGTGTGTTATTGGATTGTTGCTGTTGTAATTCAGTATTTGGTCCATATGAGTAGAGTAAAAGTAGCACAAACACGGAATATCTGTGTAAACGACGATTTCAATATATAGCATACATAATAACGGCATCGGTGTGGCTTAGCTGTGTAGAATGCTTGCCAACCACGCCTCATGTGGTCCGGGGTTCGATTCACAGCCACCGAAGCACTCCTTTACATCCTTCACTAAGCCAGTAATAAGACTGGTAAAGAGAGAAGGTTGGGAGGGGGGGGGCTGCATGAGACTAGCAACCCCATCTCATAAAAATAAACACCACTGCTGCTTCCAAAACTTAAAAGCTCCAGCTTGAAGCCCTGTATTCCACTAGGAACGTAAAAGCATAAAATAAATAATACATAGCAACCCTAATATGTGTATGTTGAATTGCAAATACATATTCCGTTAACAACAACTCTTGTGTTCTGCCGTTATATTATTATTATTACTACTAGACTACTTGAGTATGATTAATATTCTTCAACACTGCCAACAATGACAAGTACACCATAAACAATACCAATGTGACAATTGTTCATTGACGACCACAACAACAACAATAACACTTACAGATGTAAACATATGTACATATATATATATATATATGCACACACACACACACAAGTGAACGCATTCTTAAACACATTTTTTCACAAAACAAACTATGTTATGCAATATATACAATATATAACAAAAAAATGAAATAAAAAGAGAGCATACCTTGTGTTCCAAGCATAGTTGCTTTGACAGTTGACAAAATCTTTAATTGATTACCAATAGTAAGAATACGATCACTTAAGTGTAAGAGATTCTATAAAATACAGAAGAAGTAAAATAATAAAAAGACATACAGTTAATAATCTCAATTATGACTCTTATATACTCTCGCTTACTCTCTCTCTCTCTCTCACACACACACACACAAACACCAACACACACGTGAAAAGAGTAGAAATTCAAGTATTATTTCAAACCCAGGACCTTCTGGTTACAAGGTGAGTGAGCTCACAGGCCATTAAGCCACTGGGACCCGACCCAATGGCCATCCAATGAATTCTAACTTCTGCCAATTCACGATATAGCGAAACCGTTAGCCAATGTCTTCGGTGGCGAGTATTTGTCCTCACACCCGACCTGCTGCACCCTACTGGTCACGACTTCCTACTGGAACCCCAGGTAACTAGCCACCTGAATAAGGCAAGACACTTGTGAGCATCTCATTGATATTCAAGTATTGGTTTGAAGGGATATGGTTGAAATTGTTAATCAATCAATAAATCAAAATACTCGAACAGCAGAAACCTGACAAGCTCTACCTAGTTAGACTGTGTAACAACACTTCAAATAACGGGAATAATTCATAGTCTGAGTGTGTTCATTAACAAAATTATACAATTAATAGGTGATGCTCCACATTATTACTTGTCTTGAGGTTAATTTTGTTCTCCCCATCGGTTGAGTGAACCAAAATGTTAGGCCTTTATTGACAATTTCGGTTCCTAGTACCGATGTTACGACAATGTCTGTGGAATATCTTAGTGGATTGGATTGTGATTGACCAACAGTGGAATTCCAGGATGCGAATTTCGTTCCAACTGGGACTCTTCATCTAAGTGCAATTTAAATAAGTCCTAAGTAGGATGGGTTCCACTGCTGGTCACCACCCACCAAATTACTTCAAGATATTTCCTTCGCTATTTACTCAGGAGAAGTTATATTCACATATAAAAGGAGAGAAAATTTACATATTCACGTGAATAAATCAGTAAATACATACGAATAATGGTTAGGAAAAGCAGTAGAATTCAAGCTAGTGAGAAGTTGTGATCACCGGGATCCACATTAGGTTTACCATCCATGTTATGTGGACAAATGTTGAGTCTATCGACGGTTTTTAATTTTAGGAGTTACTTTGTAGGGTTCTGATTTATTTCAAGTTTGATCACAGATTGATGTTAAAAATTGCACTGAAGATGTTGTCCAGAAGGACAACGGAAGCTCCGGAACTAAACCGACCAGCTCAGAGAACACTACTCACTGCAAATCCAGCAGGTTAGGTGTGAGGTCAAATACTCAACGATGATATCATGAATTGACAGAAGTTAGAATTCGTGGGTCACTGAAGTTCTGTCGACTATGTGGCTGAATGGCCAACAAACTTGGCATCGTGACCTAAAGTTTCCAGGGTTTGACCACTGGTGGGGTCGTGCATGGGTGCATACTGCTGAAGAACACCAGGACGAATTAGCTATCCAGTACGCTTTCTGCTTTTCTCCTCCCTAGCTAACATCAATCCGCGATCAAACTTGAAATCAATCAGAACCCGACAAACTAACTCCTAAAATTAAAAATCGTCGATAGACTAAACATTTATCCAGGATATTGTGGATGGTTAATCTATAGGAGTTGGAAAATTCTGATTCAGTGATGTACACATGCATTCCAGTATGCAAAAGGAATGAATAGCCACCGACATATGCGGGAACTCAGCTGCCAACTTTGCGCTTCGCTGTGTTGCGGATTAGACTTCAGGACAAATATCACATGACAATAATCAGCTTCAGTCTCGACGTTAGAGAAGTATTTTAGCCGTCATACGTAATATGAGACAATAATTCAAAGGAGATATCAACTCAAGTTTATACTACCTCTACTTATTGTGCCCACCGCCTCAGATATTAATGATAGAAGGTTCTGGCCAACAGGATAAGATTCATGCACAAGTTATCAATATATTACTTGATATTGGGTCTGACTTAGATTCAGGCGAAAGGACAGTTTGTTTTTGGACATGCTTATTAGACAGGAGTTTCGTTGAGGAGTTTATAAACACTTTGAAACTCTTTGCACCAAAAGAAAAAGTCTGTGTGGGGACATGGAACGTCCGCACTATGTACGAGACTGGGAAAGCTGCCCAGATCGAGAGGTGATTTGGCAACTACTTTGCTACTACGGGATCCCATCGACAATTATACATCTCATCCAACAGTTATACGACAATGCTGCATGCCAAGTAATCCACAACGGGAAACTTACGGAATCCTTCGAAGTGAGGACGGAATTGAGACAAGGTTGCCTACTATCACCAATGATTTTCCTGATTGCATTAGATTGGATAATGAGAGAGACAACAGGCGATGAGGAAACAAGCATAAAATGGACCCACACAAAAAACTTGGAGCATCTGGACTTCGCCCATGATGATATATGTCTGATTTCCCACAAACTAGAAGATATGAAAGTGAAAAGCAACAAGCTGGCCATTGAAGAAGCATCAAAGATAGGACCACAAGTGAACATAGATAAAACAGAGGTGATGATGAAGATTCCTGGCCAACACCAACAGCAATAACAACAACAGACAACAATCAGCCAGCATTAATGTGAGGAACCTGAAAGAAACAACCTCCTTTACCACCTACCTACCTACCTGGAAAGCATCGTTTCAACTACAGGCGGAAATGACGAAGATATCAAAGCGACGATCGGAAAAGCAAGGTAAGCTTTCATTACTCTCACGTCTGAGTGCAGGAGGTCAACAGCACTCAGCATCAAAAATAACATCCGGATTTTCAACTCGATTGCGAAGTCAGTACTACTCACCATACGGATCTGAGACTTCGCCGGCGCGTCATAAAGAGCATCTCAAACAAACTTCAGACCTTCATTAACAGTTGTCTTCGCTCAATACCACTCAAGATTAGATTACCGACCAGAAAAGATCAGAAACAGGGATCTCTGGCAATGAGCGAACCAACCCAGTGGGAACCGATTGTGAAACAAATAGTCAGGAAGAAATGGAGATGGATTGGCCATACTCTAAGGAAACCATCAAGTGACATCACTAGACAAGCCGTTGCTCGAGTGGACCAGAAAGGGAGCGGCGAGTTGGTCGTCAGTGCAAGGGTGACATGGAGTGGAGGAGGTCATGTTAAGAGGGGATGAAAGCATATGGGCAGACTTGGAGCGGGGTGAAAAAGTTGGCAGAGAACCAAACACAATGGAGACTTGGGCAGCTGAAGCCCTATGTTCCTCTAGGAATTAAAGGATATAATAATAATAATAATAATAATAATAATAATAATAATAATTAACGCCTTCAAGCTGTAGTGGACTTAAGTTGACTTAGAAAATCTCAACATTTCTCTTTAACTTTGATAGTGATAATATTCTAAAGACACCTTATTACTTACTAGCCTACACGAATTATAGTGAATCACTAAAAACCAATGAATCCCCGAACACTAACTTTGAGTTAGCTGTTATTCATCCTGATCCTAAACGAGGGTTGTCCATTGTCCGACGTTCGGACCACTACGATTGATCTAGCTAGCAAGCACTACTGATTAGTGTGAGTAGTATCCAAGTACACATCACAAACAATTAGTACTATATATCACCGTGGATTTATGCTCACTTTCTCAATTGACATTTATGGAGATAACCAGCAGATCACAGATTATGATCTGGATAATAATTCGGTTTTCCAGTGACAAATATCGTAAAAAATTTCACCTTGAACTGTATAAATTACAAATTATTATTTCTTTACTTTCCCAGTGGAATTATAAGGCTTCAAGCTAGAGCTTTGAAGTTTCGGTAGCAATAGTGGTGTTTAATTTTTACGGGATGGGATTGCTAGCCTCATACCGCCCCCCCCCCAATCTTCTCTCCTTACCGGACTTGCGACCAGCTTAGTGAGGATTGCATCGGCCGTGGATCGAACCCCTGACCTCATGCGTGGTTGGTTGGCGAGCATTGTCTACTTCTGAACCATCAACGCATTCATCAGTCCGTTCAAATAGTTAGTCAGAAATCTGAAGATTTCAATTGATTCAGTTCTCTGTGCTAAGTGTCAAACCAGGTACACCATCGATGAATTCAGCTTCAAATGGGTAAAAAAAGCCGTGGATGATTGAGATCACTTGTAGTGGCTAAAACTGCAGATGGCGAATTTGACTTAAACTTAATCTAAGCGCCTAACTCTGACTCCTAACATTTAGACGGTAGATATTTGATTGAATGAATGAATACCAACAATTCTGTGGAAAACTTGATCTCTTATATCTGTTTCGAACATTAAAAAAAAAATCAATATAGCATTGTATATGTGCTTTAATAGGTTTACTCTATTGGAGGGTTCATAGTGCTATTTTTATGCGACTGAAGTCTTCACATTCTCTCCCTCCTCTTCAGGAAAACAAACAAACTGATTTCATAAATGACAGGAAAAAAATAAAATAACTCCGGAAGTATTTTCCACTCAAAATATATGCTGTAAAAACAAAACTCTTTTCTTTTTCTAAATAATTCCTAGTCATAAGGGGAAAAATTATTCACTGGAACCAACAGATAAACATATTACTGTAATCAGGATTATGTAACACGTGAATAATCTGAATTAGACAAGTTTGACTGTTTGTTTTATCCATTGAAATCATAATTTTAACAGAAAATGTCAAAACAAGGAGAAAATAAATTATTATGGGATTTGAAATAATTTCAACTGTTAGATTTCCGTCACGAACTAACATCAGTTAGAGATATCACTGGAGGCCGGGGAGCACTGGGCAGTTGTACACCCTATTTCGAGACTCCTCAGTAGTACACTTACCCACCACCCTGTTAGGGGGTTCGAACTTGGGTCCTTAGGTTAAGTGATCAAGTTCATCGACCATTCAGCCACTTGAAAAGGAAATGTACAGTGAGAATTTTTGGTCAGTGCAGTCTAGCAAGTCAGTTAAGAGAACGGTTACTCGCCTGTGAGACACTAGTTGGCCGTCGCGCCATATGTATATATCACATAAGTTGAAATTCATACGCCATTGGGTTAGGTCCCAGTGATTCAATAGTTCCACAGGCTCGCCATATAACTTGAAGGTCCTGGGGTTTGAACCCCAGTGGATGTGTGGCACTGAAGAGTTCCCAACTACGATGAAACAGCTGTTCAATACTCCCCGATTTCCTAGTGGTTCTCTAACTGACGTCACCTTTTGATCAGACCTATAACCAATCAAATTACTTGCAAACTAACACTTCGGAAAAAGCCTTTAGCTAACAGTTACTCTTTTCAGTGATATCATTTTGAAGCTGTACAATCGCTACATACAGTAAATTTCCTTTTTCAAACCAAGGAATATTTCCGAAGATGTTTCATTCAAATTGTAAGTTTTAGATAGCAATTACGTAATACAGAAAGCATTAATCGGGAAGAAACTCACATAAAATCAACCGTGTAAAGTACGTGACATAATGTAACTGACGGGTTACAGGATTTTATCATGAGCTGACATTGGTTAGAGAACCACTGGTAAACCACCTGGGAGTACTGGACAGCTGTTTCGTCAGACTAGTTTCGGACCCTTCATCAGTACGCACCCACCGCCAAGGTTCGAACCCAGGACCTTCTGGTTACAAGGCTAGTGAGCCTATAGACCATTAAGCCACTTGGACACGATCGAAAGGCCAGCCCATGAATTCTAACTTCTGCCAATTCACGACATAGCGTGACCCCTCGCCAATGTCTTCGGTGGCGAGTGTTTGTCCTCACACCCGACGACTTCTCACTAGAGTCGGTGGGTGCGTACCGATGAGGGGTCCCAAACTAGGACGAAACAGCTTTCCAGTACTCCCAGGCTTTTCAATGGTTCTTTAACCAATGTCAGCTCATAATGAAATCCTGTAACCAATCAAATCCCTACAAACGAACACTTGAGTAACTGACGGGATTGAGAGGAATTTAATTAAAATTGTAAGGGTCAAGTTGAGGTGAGTGTCATATGAGCAATAGAAATATAGCAGTGTGTGTGTGTGTGTGAGAGAGAGAGAGAGAGAGAGAGGGGGAAAGACAAACGCTACAAACTAAAAAAACTAGTACAACACATTTCGGATACTGATCACACATCCGCGTACTTGTCATACACAGTTATATAGAAGGCAAGAGTTGGAATGATTCATTTACAATACAGGTCAGATTGTGTACAGGACAAAGTCACAAATAGTGAGCGGGGAGATGACGCAAAGGTGTGAATAAGAAAGAAACAATAAAGAAGGGATTGAAGATATTATGAAGTAAATTGAACCTCGGTTCTAAATTGGATTACCAAGTTAGTTTTAAAGTAATAACAAATAACTTTTGGACACATAAGACAGTTACGCTTAAACTTCATTGTGGAGAAGACTTCAACGAATTTAAGTATGTGACTCAACCTTGTTTGATATATATATGGGTTTATTAAAGGCATTAGTGAAGTCACCTAACGACCCATCTGCGTAATGTGCTTCGCCATAAGATGATGTTGAACATCTATTTCCAGGAACAATTGTATCTGGTGATTTTATTTGTTGTTGCAGCTACTTTGGGATATGTTGTTTAGCCCTAACCTGTAGAGAACAATGGATATTGTCTATATACGTATGTCCATATACACATACATGTAAATTGATAAACACAATAGGATGTGACACGATGGTTCGGATGCTACAAGGGTTTACAGGACAGCATAGACCTCATTTTGTCTACGAAGATAAGTTTACCTGTACAGTAAGTTCTCTTATAAAGACGGGTCATAAGATTGATTTCACTAATGCCTTTAATAAACCCATATATATATCAAACAAGGTTGAGTCACATACTTAAATTCGTTGAAGTCTTCTCCACAATGAAGTTTAAGCGTAACTGTCTTATGTGTCCAAAAGTTATTTGTTATTACTTTAAAACTAACTTGGTAATCCAATTTAGAACCGAGGTTCAATTTACTTCATAATATCTTCAATCCCTTCTTTATTGTTTCTTTCTTATTCACACCTTTGCGTCATGTCCCCGCTCACTATTTGTGACTTTGACCTATACACAATCTGACCTGTATTGTAAATGAATCATTCCAACTCTTGCCTTCTATCGAATGGTGTGTGGGATCATCAAAATGTCTGAAATATGCTGCGCAAATTCACACTACACATTGCACATAAACTACGTCATCATTTATTTTATTGTCGAAATTCATAAAAGGGAAGAAACTAATTGCTTTAAAAAAAAATTTACGGCTAATGTTTTATTATTTACTAATGACGTCATGCGATTTATTTATTTATTTATTTGATTTGATTTTACTTCCCACACAATCAACGCCTACTGTATTACGCGTAGTGGCTATTTTAAAACTTACACTTCTAATGACATCTTTGTAAATATTCATTTTTTTGATTGTACAAAGCTTCAGAGTGGTGATATTGCTCAAAAGAGCAGCTCTTCGCTGAATGCTCCCTCCTTCTTTTACATGAATCTCAAATAGGATGAAACACGTATTATTGATATAAGAAGTATAAAACTTGGCCGTGCGTCGGTGGTATAGCGGTTAGGACGCTCGCCGACCATGCACATGGTCCGGGGTTCGATCCCCGGCCGACTCACTCCCTTACCTCGATGAGCAAGAAATAATGCTGGTAAAGAGGAAAGGTTGGGCATGAGGCTAACAACCCCACCCTGTAAAACTAAACACTGCTACAGAAACTTCAAGCCACTAGTTCGAAGCCCTATGTTCCACTGGGGAACGTGAAGGAAAAAAAAAAACTTGGCCACTGTATGGTAGAGTATAACTCCATTATAGACAAATAAGATTTTATTTTGGCAAATCACACAGTGTTATACAGTAATATTAACTGTGATGACCACGTTTCGAGCACAAACTATTGCTCATAATCCTATCAAGTCATTCGCACAACTTTCTTGCTTCATTTATATACATGAGTGAAAGGCAAAACTTAGGGTGGCATTCAAACCTACAAACTCACTCAGGAAGCGATAAGCTCTGTAGGCTAAAAGACCCGATGGACCCAATTAAACAAAATAATATAATTTACAAAATACCCTGCAATGACTGTGAGTTAAGTCAACTACATAGGTCAAACTAGTAGGTGAGGGTAGTCAGATTGTCAGAACATAAGATTTTAGCTAAGGTAAAAATGGTTGACCCCACTCGAGAAGATAAGTAATTTAGAAAAAAGCTCAGCAATTGCAATGCATGCATTGACACACAACCACACAATAGGGTGGGAGAGGGTTAAAATTCTAAAAAGTAATCTAAGTAGGTGGAGATAGAGAGAGGTTGATAACTGAATCCTTGTTCATCGAGTGTACACCAAACACATGCAATAGGAATGATTCATCACTCATACCTGAAATATAGAAAATACTACTACCAATCAAATCAAGTGAAAAACAATGGAACTATATGAAAGAAGTTAGGAAGTCGTGTGATTGCCTTGATATGATTATGAGCAGTAATAAATTGTGCTCAAAAGGTGGTCATCAGTAAGCATTACTGTATAACACTGTCAGACTATATCAAAACAAAATTTACCCATAATCGAATTACAATAACTGAAGACTATATCAATGCTGGTCACTTCATGTGAACTAAATTCTCTTTTAAAGTGAAGAGCGGAGACCGGTAGAAGACAATACGTTTTCACTTCTTCTGGATTGCTGAAGCTCCAGTCAATCGACGATTCTATCGACCCTATTCAACTTTCCATTGTTGTTGGTGATTAATGTTGCACAGTATACCTGTGACAAATCATCAGTTTTATCACTGTCCTCTTGGTGATGAAGAGACAAACCAAACTGTATATCGATGCGATTGTACAACTAGAGAAATTGAAATTACTGAAATAGATCTCTTCGATAGACTATTTGTTTTATTTTCGCGTTCTAAGTGGAACGTATATAGTTGAAGGATTTGAAGTTTTGGTGACAGTGATGTCGCTATTTTATCAGGGTGAGTTCGTTAACCTCACAATCGCCACTACCACAACCTTTCTTGTTTTCTGAGCTTTCTACTAATCAATATGCCGGATAGGACAGAGTCAAAATTTTAAAAAGTAATGTAAGTAAGTGGACAGAGAGAGAGATTGATTATTGAATTCTGCTTGTTTCATCGAGTCTACACCCAACACAGCACATTCAACAGAAATGACTCTATGCAAATACCAGAGATATGCATGGAATATGTTATTACCAACAGTCGGTTAAATCAGAGGAGGATAATAAATAATCTTTAAATTCTATTTCAATTCACATACATTCTAACAAGTTACTTATTTATTTTGACTATAAAAACACTCGTCTTATTTCCCGTCTGATTGTACTTGATTAATAACACTCATATTTTTTTAATTTCTGAATGTACATTGTCCCATATCGATTTTTATTCAATCAAATGTCTAATCATCAATTTCACTCATGTATATAAATGAAGCACGAAAGTTGTGTGAGTGAGTACCTTGATATGATTATTAGCAGTAATAGTTTGTGCTCGAAACGTGATCATCAGTTAATATTACTGTACAGCACTCCACTGTGTGATTTATCAAAATAAAATCTTATCTTTAATGGAGGATAAAACACTCGTCGTATCAAAAACGGCAAGCCACAAACTCTAACACACACACACACACATAGAAAGAGATAAACACAATTAGAGGGAAGTTACATGGAATACGTTTCTTGAAAAGAGGATTATACATACATACACGAGTATACATAAATATATATATATATATATATATATATACTTACTGAACGTATACGACGATCTGTACATTCTCTGGCTAATACTTTTGCACATTGATTTACATCTATCGACGCTTCTGCAATAGCCATAGAAACAGTTATCAAATCCTTCTTTGTTCCATATTCACCACTAGAAAAATAATCAAGGAAAACAAAAGGGGGAACAGTGTTTTGCTTTAATGGTTATGTAATGTGAAATGAAAACTTATTCAGTTGGAAAAAACCAAATTTAAAAAAATCTTTTTCGGTTGAATTGTCAAATTTTGAAGTTATAACAGCTGTATTTCTTTTAATTGTAAATTAGTGTATATTATAGACAAAATATATTTGAAAAAACACAAAAAGCAAAGTGCTTCTTGTGCAAAATGGTTTTTATTTGATTGACTGGAGGATTTCATCATGAGCTGACATTGGTTAGAAAGCCAGTGGAAAACCAGCTGGGAGTACTGGACAGCTGTTTCGTCCTAGTTCGGGACTCTTCAGCAGTACGTACCCATCGCCAAGGTTCGAACCCAGGACCTTCTGGTTACTACAAGGCGAGCTCGTAGACCATTGAGCCACTGGGACCCCATCCAATGGCCGGCCAATGAATTCTAACTTCTGCCAATTCACGACATAGCGCGACCCCTAGCTAATGTCTTCGGTGGCGAGTATTTTCCTCACACCCGACCGGCTGCACCCTACTGGTCACGGCTTCCCACTAGAACCCCAGGTTAACTGCCTGAATAGGGCCAGTCACTAGTGAGCATCAGATTCATTTTCAAGTATTGGTTTTGTAGGGATTTTGTTTGATTGCATGGAGGATTTAATCATGAGCTGACATCAGTTAGAGAACCACTGGAAAACCTGCAGGGAGTACTGGACAGCTGTTTCGTTCTAGTTTGGGACTCTTCAGCAGTACGCACTCAGTGGCTCAATGGTCTACGAGCTCGCCTTGTAGTAACCAGAAGGTCCTGGGTTCGAACCTTGGCGGTGGGTGCGTACTGATGAAGAGTCCCAAACTAGTCTGACGAAACAGCTGTCCAGTACTCCCAGGTTTTCCAGTGGTTCTCTAGCTGATGTCAGCTCATCATAATAGTTTTGTCCTAAGTTGGACGTCCATCAGCAGTACGCACGCATTTAGCATACAATACATGGTCCAGCTTACGAGTAATAACAACGTTAAGTGAATATCAATGAATATCAGAATAACTTGGTTAAATATGACGTAATAGACTATGATTTATCAGAGTTGCAGTATGGAGGATTTTCCGCATTGTCTAAAGTCATGAATTTGTGAACCAATGCTGAAAATATATTATCTACATAACTCTTACAGACTGCTTGTAGAGTACTACGTTCTAGGTGTGCTATGAAACAGTTGGCAGGCAGTCAACCAAGCGGAGATCCCAAAGTTGTTCTCTCCGTCTGTCGACATATTTTATCATCAAATAGGAATGGGACATTGAGCGTGCATCTTAACATTAGTTTTTGAATAACCTTTCCGACCGGCCATCTGATTTTTAAGTATGGAGACGAGGAGGCAGGTGTTGACAAAAGTCTGAAGTAGCAGGTTGGAAATGGTTTTCATCATGATGCGCCGGGTCTCTGAACCATATAGAGAAGTACAGGTTTAATACTAGTGTTGAACATCCGGATCTTGTTCTTTATGTTGCAGTATAGCAGATTTCTATACTGACTAAAGATTAATGAAGGTTTATCTTGCTTTCCCAACTCTACATTTAGAACAACACATTTAAGCGAACAATATTGTGGTTTCAATTATATCCCGTCAGGCTTAACTCTAATATACCAATATAACGTTGCAAATAAAAATTCAAATATAAACCAATCCTCATGCTGTTTTGTCTATAGGATAATACGATGGTGAATATAAATTGTGCAATTAGTCATAATAGTAGTAATGATAATAATAATGATGGTTTTATCAATAATAAGGATGAAAACGTGAGACAATCCGTGATGACATGAATAATGAAAAAACAGCATGATTAAACAAACAAGATGTTCAGGTAGACATACTAGTCGATACAGGCTAAGAAAAACAAATCAACCGATTAAGAAATGCTAGACTGATTGTAAGGGAAGTAAATGAGATACATTTTTATTGAAGATGTGATAAGATTAAGGGATGATAAGAGAGGGGTTGAAAATATAAACAAGGGGTGGTGTAGAAGTCATCAGTTGGTTATGTCTTAATAGGCCAACAAGAGAGGAATAATGCCTGTACGAACTCCTTTTGAATGCATTGTTTAGGTTTAATAGTTCCGATGCCTATCACCTGTTTCAGATGTGTGCAGTAAACGAATACGAATTCTCTTAGAAAGATTCGGTGGGATACGATGAATTACTTTGAAAGCTCTCGTTTTCCCTACGACATGACCACTATCAATTAAATGTGACAAAATTGAGTTACGGATTGACATTTCCATCTGTGCCGTTTGTAGTTGAAACGGTGCTGCCCAGACATTTGAAACAGGTGACGACTTTCCCTAGGACTTTTCCCATTGATGATGACCAATACTTCTTTGAGCTTTCCGTTGTAAATCACTATGCTTGTAGCACCACTATATAGCTGTTGAATGGGGCTAATAAAGGTTTGTGGTACTCAGAAGTGTTGAAGAAGTTTCCGAATTGCCTTTCACGGTGGACGCAACCGAAGGCCTTTTCATAGTCAGTGAAGTTGAGATAGGCAATTGACTAACATTCTACGCTCTGTTCGATCATGATGTAAAGTGGTGCAATTTGGTCCACACATTATGTCACCTGGAGCACTTTTTAGTCTCTCTGGTATGGGACTTAATGTTTTGCTTGAGGTGGGTATGAGAATGATTCCACGTGAGTTCTTATGAAGGTTTAGGTTGCCCTTCTTTGGAAGTTTAACGAGGTAGGCACTTTCCCCTTCTTCCATACTTTCTGCAGTAATGGCATGAACACATCTGCTGAGATCTGTGGGTCCGTTTTCAGAGCTCTGGAATTTATCCCTAATAATCATAATACTGTAACACTGTGTGAAATAAAAAAAGGTTACACATCAACATATCAGGTAAACAGGATGCTTACCGGACAATTTGACTAAGTTGAGCCATTAAAGCAGCCATACGTTTTGTTGCTGCAATCAATTCATTATCACGACTTGACCATAAACGTGTTTCATGGTGTAATGCATGTGCAGCTGCCTACATAAACAAAAGAAATGAACAATAATAACAACGATGAGACTGGTTTGTAATACGGTGAGAAATAACACACACTTTAAGGACATTGGGATGTTTATCTATCGGCGCATCATCAAGTTGTGCGATCCAAATGGTAACAACGTACAAATTTCCCTGATCCTATGAAAGACCTAGTACGGAAAGAAGGTGGACAGACATCGATCTTCCTATCGAAATCCCCTTATATAGTCAGGTATATCCTATGCACTGCCTTCAGGCAACTGAGGTATTCGTAATATAAGGGAAAGGGTAAATGAGAAGCTTTGGTGCTTACAGCTGAACTCATGATGATGCTGGTCTACCTAGGGGAGGTGGAAAACCCTGATTTCAAATCTTTGGTGTACATAAATTCCGAAATCTGGACAGATGCATGAACCCGTTTTAGTTACCGGAATCCATTGGGACGTAGAATCATACACTGCTGAACGATCTTGTGGATCAGACTTCAGGAAAAAGGGGATGGTCATTTAAGACAACCACCTGCTTCGGTCTAGGTGTCCAGGCAGTATTCGGAACTTCGTACACACTATGAGAAGTATCAAGTTTGTGTTCTCATAATAATAATAATACCGATTTATCTATGAGTGAGTGAAAATGAAATGTTACTCAACTACCATTTACAATTCTAAGCAACTGGCAATAAGTCACACAAATCGTGTATGGCAACAATCCAAACCTCAAAAGATGGAGCGTAGTTCTAACCTGTAACCCCCAGGTTGAAAGTTGATCACCTTGATAAATAAGCCACAGTAACAACATTCTCCGTATAATGTCACCTTATTGACAGAGAGATTGAAATCTTTTTTCAGCCATATCGTTGTACCAAACTCTGTCTAGCTAAATCATACATAAAGTTATTTAATTGAATTTAAGATTTTCCTGTCCATTGAAGTGAACCGAAGTGCTTGGTCTCAGGTTGACATGTCTGTTGGCTTCTTGTGCAGATGCTTAGACGATGTCTGGGTGTGTAATTAGAATTTAATTGGTGGATGGTGACTAGCAGTGGAAACTATGAGCACAGGGTTCAAGCCTCGGTGGGAACATCATCACTCACTGGGGAATGTAGCTATATCCAGATGACGAGTCCTGAATAGGGCGAAATGCGCGTTATCCTGGATAACACTGCTAGTCATCATACACCAAGTAAATTCTAATTAAATACATAAAGTTATTTAGACTTCAGTTACCTGGTAATGCATCATAAGCCACACATAGTGTATATGAAGGCTAATGATGCTACTCAATTGTCCAGGTAGGCTAAAGCAGGTGGAGAGACAGACCCACTGGTTGAAAGTTAAGTTCTCAAGTTGACGAGTCATACGCATACTAAGATGCGTACAACGATAGCCCCATTCAAAGTATGCTGTCAAAAACTGCTAATTTCAAATGAACACCATTGAGTGTGAATTATACTACTTAATGATTCATTTGAGTAGAATTATTTACTCCAAAATAAAAGACAAATGAAGGATAAAACAGTAGTTACACAAGTAGGTCGTTTCATTTCAGCTGATCTACCTATGAATACATTAACTGATTGACAAGTTACTTGATATTATTTCAAAATCTCCACACAGAATTTTACAATAACCCAAACAAGATCCTCCGGTGGCAGTTCTAGTGAGAAGTCATGACCAGTGAGGTCCATGTGTGAGGATGGATGTCCCACCTACAACAATGGCTGGAGTCGCGCTAGATCATGAATTGGTAGAAGTTAGAATTCATGAGCCAATGAATCGGATCTCAATGGCTGAACGGAATACGAGCTTGCCTTGTAACCGAAAGGTCTTGGTTTCGAACCTTGGTGGTGGGTGCGTACTTCCGATGATTCTAAAATTAGGATGAAACAGCTGCCCAGTACTCCTTGGTTTTCAATCCGTGATCAACTCATAAAAAAAAACTAAACCCTTACAAACCAAACTATAGAAAAATAACACAGAAAGTACTACACTGGGTAAATAAAGATATGAACAAGAGAGAATATCATTCAGTGAACATTTTTACAATTTTTATGCTAACAAGATACGAAAGCTGAAAACTCGACCAGTCAGTACACAGGTTTCTACCTTTCTTGAGACTCTTTAACACTACACCACATACACAAGTTTGTGACTGATGGAGTCTAAGACTGAAATGTTTGGAATATAGTCGCTAATGCTCTCAAGGCTTGACGCTTTTTTTTTTGAAGTTTTAGTCGCGATGGTGTTGTTTCTTTTACAGGGTGGTGTTACTAAGCTTACACCTAACCCTCCTTCTTTTTTTCGAGCTTACTTCCACCTAATAGACTGATCAAGGTTTTGGAGTGTGTCAGTTGGGAATCGACCCCAGAACCTCTAACACCTGGCTGGCGAGAGTCCACAACTATTGATCTAACGACAGAATAAAATCAATACCATTTCCACATAACACAAAATAATTGAGGAAAGAATATCCTTTCCGATAATTTCCTCTTCTGACTCTACAAACATGCATATGTTTATATATATAGAATATTCTAGATTAATAGTCAATAACAATATTGGTCTTTTTAAATAACATCGATTCGTTAAACAAGAGCAATCGAATTATAGTTCATCAAAGATGCTTAAATTATAATAATGATAATAATAAAGATATAGTAGCAAATAGAATATCAACTAAAATTAGAAAAATTCCATAAAAGTTGAGGATAATTCAAACCTAGATGACCAAAGGTAAGGATAATGTCTGAACTAGCCTCTTTTGGATGCACAATTTGGGCTTCTTGATGTGGATCCCAAAAGGCTCAGCGATATTTAGTAGTCGAACTCTTAAGGCTAAGAGTTAAGATTTGTTGGTATGCGGTAAATGACTTTGAAAGCTGCCTCGTTGATATCAATTTTGTGTTCTTGATATAAGTATAAAACTTGGGCACTGTGGTGGTAGAGTATAACTTCATTATGAATAAGATTTTATTTCGATAAATCTTATCCATAAAAGAATCTTGTGTTCTGTATTCAAAAGATGAGATAGAATGGCGCTACGAATAGATTTCGTTTGTTCTTTACTTAACCACGGAAATCCGACGAGAAACCATTTCCATCAAATTTCATTGATACATCGTTGTCTTCCTACTACATTACTAGGCGCACAGTGATAGCTGACATAATATCAAGTTGGAAAAGAGCTGATCGTAGGCAAACCAAAACATAGTATCAGACACAATATAAGCCATGACAGTTAATTTAAGCCGTGAACATGGAGAAGTGTAGACGACTTCCTCACTGGTTAGGGTCCTCTGGATAGTTAGAACCAATGAAAGCTGTAGGAAATTCGTGATATGGTTCAAAATTGCTCTCAATGATTGCTCAGATACATTCGCTCTTTGTAATATGTCATGACCAATAACAGTCTGCTGTTTTACTATATTACTATTTTTTTCGCTCACACTTCTGCTTACTATCTCTGTTTTGAACCTCCCTTTATTGTTTTCTCTTTTTTTGTGTGCTGCATGGACAATGACAATTCGAACTGCTGTATATCTGTGCAAAGTTTTACGCTGAAACCACTCAATTAGTCAGTCAGTCAAAACGACCCGAGTCAAAAGTCATAAATTTGAGATAAAATTCTAAGAAATCCATCTCTCCGTTAATCGATGATGGTGAGAAGGCGGTGAGGAATGACCATCTCATATTCTTAGTATTCTGACTGCTTAACGCTTCCTTAATCAATCTGTCAGTTGATATCCAATAATATGTCTATATAACAAGGAGTTATTTTAGTAAAAAAGTTCGTCTAATCTCACGATTACGTAATCACCACTTACTAATCATATGCTGTAATACAAAAATGAATATATATTCTAGGCATTATTTTATTGTCTTGAATTATAACCAGATATATGAAATAAGTAGTATGAATCGCAGAATCAGTAATCTCGAATCGTTAATTTCCATATAATGTGCAACCAAACTATAGACAATTAACCAAAAAATTTGTAATAGTATCTCTCAATGTAATGAATACATAATTTACATTAGACTTCAACTAATATAATATACAGGTCAGTTGTGAGGACAAGTAGTCGATAGAGATGACATTAGATAGTGCCAGTCACGCTGTATCGTGAATCAGCATATATTGGAATTCATAGACTAGCAGTTCAATCGGTTCTCAGTGATTTTGTAGTCTATGAGCTCGCTCGCCTTTTAACCGGAAGGTTCTGGCTCCAAACCCCACAGTGTGGGTGTATACTGATGGAGAGTCACGAAACAGGGCGAATCAGCCGTCTGGCAGTACTCCCAGAAGCTTTTCTAATGGTTCTTAATCTGATGTCATCTCATGATGAAATCCTGTAACTAATATAATATCCAGTTCTGAAATGTTGTTCATTTAGTAAGGGCAACGAAAATCGATACAAATCTTAACTTATTTGAATAAAGCAAGAACAACAGTGGTTTGTGCAGAATAATATGGTACCATCATTTATTTCGTCGGCTCCTCATCAGCTGCTTACAGCTTAAATAAATTATGGGGTTTAAATACAGAAACGTTTTAACATACTTGCAAATTTTACATGTTGTCAGTTGACAGAAAGTTCCACAATAAGTGAACAGTGCTTAGAAAATTGCGCTTATATAGTTTTTACACAGGCAGTTCAAGTTAAAACAAAATAAATGTATGCATATAATGGTAAAGGAGTTACGTAATAAAGGTGAGAGGTGTGTCAGATGCACAGTGACCAATAAGTTAGGTATCAATGTACTGAGTTCAACTCACGTCACAGAAACAAGAGACAAGCAAAATTGATATGATTATGAACAATAAATTGTGTTCGAAACGTCATCCAGTACACAATACTGTTTCACTGTGTGATACATTTAATAAACAAACTAATATGGAAGCAAAATTATAGATTATGAAAGGTGGGTGAGGTTAAAGACAAAGATTACGTAATCAAATGAGAGAATAAAGACATCCAGTTACCAGGCCGGGCAAGGAAAGACTAATAACTGATTCTTTCTGAACACATAAATCTGCTTTCAGGCGTTTGATAGAAATTGGTTCGGAAAACTTCTGGAGAATGGAGCTCCTTTGTCTATTGATAATTTTGAAGGATTTCTCGATTTCCACCTCATGACCCGTGTCGAGGAGATGTCTGGTAATAGCGCTACAATAAGAGGTTGTTCCCTTGAAACCGTAGGCTTTTCGACAAATGTTCAGAAAACCGGAGGTGTGTCTTTCTTTCTGTTCTCCCAATGTAACTGCTCCCCAAGACACACGTAAATTTGTACACACAGTTGAAGTTAACATGAGAAGGGTATCTATCGAATTTTGACTGCACCAAAGAGCATGTTGTTCTATGGACAGGAACCAACTTAGCTGCAAGATAGGCTCTGGCTAGTGACATTCTCAGTCTTTTGATGACCATTTCTGCAATGTTTTCACCTTTAAAATCTAGTTGAATGAAGATAGGCGTTTTTTCAACTGTAATTTGTTTGGTATTTGAGCATTCACATCTTCCATATTTGTTAATGAATCTTTGAGGATAACCGTTGTTTTTCAGTACCTTTTCGAGAATTGTAAATTCTTCCTCTGGTTTCTCCGCAGAGCATATTCTGCTCGCTCTATAGTACAGAGTCTTGACTAGTGCTTGTTTATAGCTATCTGGACAAAAACTATTAAAATGTAAGTTAATGATGGTACCATATTATTCTACACAAACCACTGTTGTTCTTGCTTTATTCAGATTCATTAAGGGGGAATAAATGCATGAAGTTTCTTAACTTATTCCTAAGCAAATAGTTTCAATGCTGGTAGATAAGTCGAATATATTGCTCAATTTTACATTTGTTAATACAACTTCATGGACTTCTCGACTTGAAATCAGCTTACACACCTGTAATGCTTAAATAATTATGTCTGAAAACTTTAGTCAAGGATAAAGAGGACTGTTTATTACAACATCATAATTTTCTTCGTGAAATAAAAGTGATTGTCGCAACACCAAAACCAACAATAGTGATTACATAATCAAAATAAACGTATTTAGAAGATATAAGTATAAAACTTGGGCACTATGGGTGGTAGAGTATAACTCCATTACAGATAGATAAGATTTTAATAAGTCACACAGTGTTCTTAGACAGTAATATTAAATGATGACCACATTTCGAGCATAAATTATTACTGCTCATAATCATATCAAGTCATTCACTCACACAACTTTCTTCCTTCCTTTATGTGCATGAGTGGAATTAACTGGATATTTAAATAAAAATCAACATAGGATAATGTACATGCAGAAATAATAATATGAGTGTTATTGATCAATTACAATGAGATGGGAAATAAGACGAGTGTTTTTATAGTCAAAATGAATAAATAACTTGTTAGAATGTTATGATGGATGTGAATTGAGACAGGATTTAAAGATTACTTATTATCCTCTTCTGATTTGACTGACTGGTGGTAATGACATATTCCATGCATATCTCTGGTATTTGTGTTGAGACATTTCTGTTGTATGTGTTAAGTGTACTTATTTTTTTTTAAACTATAAAAACATCTTATTTCCCTTCCCATCTGATTGTAATTGATCCATAACACTCATATTATTATTATTATTTCTGAATGTACATTATCCTATATTGATTTTTATTCAACTTTCTTGTCAATTTCACCCATGCACATAAATGAAGCAAGAAAGTTGTGTGAGTGAGTACCTTGATATGATTATGAGCAGTAATAATTTGTGCTTGAAACGTGTGGTCATCAGTTCATATTACTGTATAACACTCCACTGTGTGATTTATCAAAATAAAATCTTATCCATAATGGTGTATTTAGAAGACTCAAGATATGGCCTATTATAGCATGAAGGTATTTAATACTAAAGGCGGCCTGTATAAAACTTGGGCTACCGGAAACCTCCATCAATACACACACCCACACATATTGTGTCGGTGGCACAGTGGTTAGGACTCTCGCCGACCATGCGCATGTTCCGAGGTTCGATACCCTACCGACGCACACCTGATATCTATGGTCAGGCTGCAAAAATTGGGGCTACCGATATCCATGCTGAAAATTCCATACATGTACCAAAAATACAGTGTGGAATCAAGCTGTAATCAAAAATAAATAAATAAATATAATTTCTCTTATTCATTTTGTTTTTCACATTTGATAAATTTTGACCTCTAATAGTATTATTTACTTTGACAAGTGTTTTAACAATATTTACTACACGCTGAGTCGCAAGTTTCTAGTAACCTTGAGAAAAAGAAAGTATTATTCTGTGTGTCAATATGTCTCACTACATGAGAAAATTGTTCCTGAATTGTGTCCTCAATTCTCAAAATGTACTCCTGAAGTTTTTTTTATAATTGTCATTCAAACTGGACGTTATATATTTATCGAAGGAGACAAAAGAAAGGTATCCGACAGTAAGATGATCTGTTGTCAGACAATGTTTTATTTAAAGATCCGGAACGAAAGGAAGATATTATGTTATAAACTCCACTGAAAACTCTGTATTATTATATAAATACTATTCAGAAGAAGCATCAAAGATAGGACCACAAGTGAATAAAAAGAGAAAACAGGTGATGAAGATTCCTGGCCAACACCAACAGCAATAACAACAACAGACAACAATCAGCCAGCATTAATGTGAGGAACCTCAAAGAAACAACCTCCTTTACCACCTACCTACCTACCTGGAAAGCATCGTTTCAACTACAGGCGGAAATGACGAAGATATCAAAGCGACGATCGGAAAAGCAAGGTAAGCTTTGATTACTCTCAAGTCTGTGTGCAGGAGGTCAACAGCACTCAGTATCAAAAATAAGATCGGGATTTTCAACTCCACTGTGAAGTCAGTGCTACTCACCATACGGATCAGAGACTTAGCTGGCGCGTCATAAACAGCATCTCAAACAAACTTCACACCTTCATTAACAGTTATCTTCGCTCAATACCACTCAAGATCGGATGGCCGGCCAGAAAAGATCAGCAACAGGGAGGGATCTCTGGTAATTAGCGAACCAACCCAGCAGGAACCGATTGTGAAACAAATAGGCAGGAAGAAATGGAGATGGATTGGCTAGCCATACTCTGCGGAAACAAACCATTAAGTGACATCACTAGACAAGCCATTACTCGAGTGGAACCCGATTGAAAGGGAAGCGGCGAGTCGGTCGTAAGTGTGAGGGTGACTTGGAGGAGGTCATGTGAAGAGGAGATGAAATCATGTGTGCAGACTTGGAGCGGGGTGAAAACGTTGGCAGAAAACCGAACGCAATGGAGACTTGGCGGCTGAAGCTCTATATTCCTCTAGGAATTAAAGGAAACAATAATAGTAATAATAATAGTACTCAGAATAAAGCTATCCGTATGAATCAGTAACAGATCCAAACCTTGTTCACATAAGTCTTCACACCATATGTGTGGCATATGATCAACCTCACTGATAAATAGAGTATCCGTTTCGCATTAACTGAGTTTACAATCACCGCAAAAATCTTGTACCTCCACCTTTAGATTTAACCCTTTTGTGATAAGATTCATTAGCAAGTCATATAGTAGCTTGAGAGATACTTTGAACTGGAGCCTACCTAACTGATGACTGACTACATGATCATCAATCAACTACTCAAAGATAAACGAACCAAGTATAACAACATCAGGGGAATTACTTCATTGACATCAGTTCCTGGAACAGACTTTCCATGTTCTACGGTGTGAACTACAGTTTATTGTATAGGAGAGCCCAGTTGTCCATCCAAGTTGAAATACGTACAGACAGAGAGAGAAAGAGAAAGGGAGAGACTCGAACCCGAGGTCAATTGACTAAAACCCGAGTGCTTAAGGGCCAATGAACCACACTGTAGTAGTAGTCACACACACATACACACACACACAGACAAAACACAAAAACAATAAATAATGGTCATAATCTACTCACCATAATTGGTTGATTTTCTCCAGGTGGTGGAAAATTGAATTCTTCGTCGACTTCTGTTTCTGGTGTGCATATCCGCTGATCAGGTGTAGGCGAAGCAATACTAGTTGGTTCTTTGAAATTTTGCAATAATAGCAAACAAAAAAATGGAAACGCAAAAAAGAAGAAAAAGTTGCTTTTTAAAAAAAAGATAATTCAAAATTCGTTGGAAAATAAAATTCAAACGTGCACAAACTACTACATTGGACATTGAACACAAACTTAAAAGTGTTAATATGTATGTGTGTGTATATATGTATGTATGCATAATCGTAACCGTTTCCCATACACATAAAATGAAAACAAAGTATAAATGGATTTCAGGTGGACATGACATGCACAGGCAAAAGGAAAACTATATGCTAAAACATGTCTAGGTAACTGATAAGCAAAATATAACTCGGTTTTGTATTACAAATCAACCGATCGCGGAATTCTAATCACAATACCATTTCGGAGGGATATATGAATCTTTATGAGGTAATGCCTTATCTACAAAGAAACAAATAATGATTGCTTTTTTTAGCGAAGAAATTTCTCTATTCAACGACTTCATTTTCAAGCCAACTGTAGAGTCGTATTTATTTATATTACAGAAAAAGGTTATTAAGTGGCACCAAATAATTGATTGCTCAGTCAATATACACATATATGTGTGCTAAGAATAACGATAATTGAAATGTCATAAGGGGTAGACTTGAAGTGGATTATTTATTATTTTTATTATTATATCCTTTAATTCGTAGAGGAACATAGAGCTTCAGCCGCCAAGTCTCCATTGCGTTCGGTTTTCTGCCAACGTTTTCACCCCGCTCCAAGTCTGCACACATGATTTCATCTCCTCTCCACATGACCTCCTCCAAGTCACCCTCACACTTACGACCGACTCGCCGCTTCCCTTTCAGTCGGGTTCCACTCGAGTAATGGCTTGTCTAGTGATGTCACTTAATGGTTTGTTTCCGCAGAGTATGGCTAGCCAATCCATCTCCATTTCTTCCTGCCTATTTGTTTCACAATCGGTTCCCACTGGGTTGGTTCGCTAATTACCAGAGATCCCTCCCTGTTGCTGATCTTTTCTGGCCGGCCATCCGATCTTGAGTGGTATTGAGCGAAGATAACTGTTAATGAAGGTGTGAAGTTTGTTTGAGATGCTGTTTATGACGCGCCAGCTAAGTCTCTGATCCGTATGGTGAGTAGCACTGACTTCACAGTGGAGTTGAAAATCCCGATCTTATTTTTGATACTGAGTGCTGTTGACCTCCTGCACACAGACTTGAGAGTAATCAAAGCTTACCTTGCTTTTCCGATCGTCGCTTTGATATCTTCGTCATTTCCGCCTGTAGTTGAAACGATGCTTTCCAGGTAGGTAGGTAGGTGGTAAAGGAGGTTGTTTCTTTGAGGTTCCTCACATTAATGCTGGCTGATTGTTGTCTGTTGTTGTTATTGCTGTTGGTGTTGGCCAGGAATCTTCATCACCTGTTTTCTCTTTTTATTCACTTGTAGTCCTATCTTTGATGCTTCTGCTGTCAGCTTGTTGCTTTTCACTTGCATATCTTCCAGTTTGTGTGAAATCAGACATATATCATCGGCGAAGTCCAGATGCTCCAAGTTTTTTGTGTGAGTCCATTTTATGCCTGTTTCCTCATTGCCTGTTGTCTGTCTCATTATCCAATCTAATGCAATCAGGAAGACCATTGGTGATAGTAGACAGCCTTGCCTCACTCCCGTCCTATCTGTCGAAGTGTATAGATTACACAATTATTAAAGATTGTTTTATAAGTGAATTGATATCAAAAATGTCAAGTGTTGTCTAAAAATTTTAAAAAAAATTAGGAGTACGATTACGATAAGAATGTAGATGTGAAGTGAAGTGGAATGAATTCAAGTGGTAAAATAAAATAAAAACTTAAAACAACATTACTATGACCAAGGTAAAGAAAGGGGTTTGACAAAACGTTTGTGAACACATAATTTAGGTTTCTGTTCACGTATATCTAGCTAAAGCTTCGGCTATGCATAAGTGAAGAAAACGTAAACTTTTGGATCGATTCGATCCTGCCATGCAGATAACTTTGAAAGATGAATCACGTGGGGCTAAATGACCAGATTCTAACAAGTGATCACAAATAGACGACTTTGCAGTTCTACGTTCGGCTTTCATTAACTAAACCGGATAGTGTTCAGTTACACGTTTTCGGAGATTACGCTTACAAGGTCCAATATAATCAGCTCCACACAAGAGCAGGTATAAGAGTAAATGCACATATATGTGGGCAAAAGCGGTAATCTATCCTTAACGCGCATTATCTAATCATATTTCGACTGGTAAAAACTAGTTGCAAGTCAGCTACAGGAAAAGTGCTTTTAATACATTTAGATAAACAATTTTTAATCAACTCCGAGATGGTATCACCTTTGAATGCCAGACTCATAAACAGTTTTTCCTTAGGCACTGAGATTGGTCTAGGGGCAGATTCTTTCTTGATGATTCAGCGTTAGCTGTCCCACACGCCAATTTTTTATTAGTGGATATATATTTGTATACTGAAAGGTTATTTCAGGTTAGATGACGGATTGAAATCAGTTAGAGAACTATTGAAAACCAGACAGTACTGGACTGGAACTTATCAGTAGTATGTTCCTAGTGCGACCTCCTGGTTACAAGACAAGCTCGCATACCATTCAGCCACTAGGACCCGATTCAATGACCTATGTATTCTAACTTCTACCAATTCGTGATTTTAGCATGTGGGTGAGTATACTGCCAATGTTTTCCGGACCAAGATGACACAATTGTCCAGTACTCCCTGGATTTTAACGGTACTTTAACTCATATAAATCCGTGGTCTAATCTGGAACAAATAGAATCCCTACAGACCAATTCTGGAAAGGTTATTCCTATTCACCTTAGTCTCTGTGAGATTGTCCGTGTCTGAGAAGTTTTATGCTTTCCCTGGAGTTTGATTGCATTAAGGAGGTGTTGTTCTAATTCACCCCTTACCTTCTTAGTTAAAGCAAAGCAGATAAAAAAAACAATGCGTAAATGACAACTTCAGAAAAACCAACACAACGGTTTCCTGAATCCATGATGAAGGTACTCTTCAGTTATTGTATTACCCAAGGAAGACGTGGCATATCCTTTCCTGCTTATTCCACACAAATAAAACTCATACACAATAAATGATTCCATTCCCCTTTTGTCAAACAATTAGAAAAATAAATACATAAAAATCGAGGAAAACATGAAAGAATTGATAATGACTGCACACATGCTTCCATAAAGTGTCGGAAGGAAGGCCCGCGGAGGGGGGCGGGTGTCAGGTTAATATATGATAACTACAGTGTTATGATACCATCACTAACAACCACCACTACTGGTCTCTACGTGTGTACCGGTGAAATATTCTTTCTACTAACTACTTTCATAGGCATGCAATATGCAAAAACAATAGGTAATACGTGGAGTGTAATGTAACCAAACAGATTGAACATAAACCCGACCAATGCCAAAGAAGGATATGCGAGATGCAGTGTGTGTGTGTGTGTAGCAGCAAGACATAGAAACACACACCCACACCCACACAAACAAGTATATGAAGTCGACAAGTACCTGGATACACATGGCAGCCATAATCTTGTTTCATCAATTTGATATTTCTATTACTATTACTACCACTACTACTATTACTATAATTATTATTAGTAGTATTATACGGTGTATGATAGTAGTAGCCCGGTTGATGTGTCTGTTGATAATGATTAGATCCTGTATGATTATTGATATTTTGTTGAGGTTGATGATGTCCAGAATGATGGGTGTAGCTCGGTGGTGACTGAGTAGTGATAGCAGCGGCAGCCGCAGTATACGAATGAGGTGTTATAACAGATGAAGGTTGATACACTTGAGGATGATGACGGTGATCATGATGGTGATGATTAACACTTGACGGTTGCTGTGACTGCTGATGAGAATACTGATGACTATAAGGATAGGGTACTTTAATTTCATACATAGGCTTATGTAGATACTGTGGTGCAGAATAACTGCTACTACTAGCACTATAGTTATTGTTATTATAATTATTATTGTGACTATAATTGTTATCATATGTGTATGGGGGTGGGGGTGGTGGCGGTGAATGGGAAACATCTAAAGAATGAAAAATGGAGGAAAATTATCAGGAAAAAAACGAACAAACAAAAAATGTACTTAGTTTATATTTGTTACTGTAGTAATAAACAAACAATATTTCGCATATATATATGGTTGGGAAAATCAATCGACGAGGCTATAATGTTACATATATTGAGATGGCTAGGTCAGGTACTGCGCATACCTAACCATCGCCTCCCCACGTCGACGGTCATTATTAGCTGATGATATAGGTGCAGGTTGGAAAAGAGTAAGTGGTGGTCAAACAAAAACATGGCCTCATCAATCCATGAAATCCTTGACAGTTAAACTGAGTCATTCAGGTACGGAGATGCAGACTTCCAGGCCTCGGGACTGACTCTAGGAATCAATGACTGGAGACAATAGGTGACATAGCTCAAAATCGTTGTCAATGGCCAGCGGAGATGTATTCAGTCTCTGTAATCTTTCATATTCCTTTTTATAATTACCCATTCTGTTTCACTCTTATACTTGTCAGACTGTATTGATTTTCTTCCCTCATCTTCTTGTCTACCTTTGTGTGGTATTTGGAACGTGGCAACTGGAACTGGTGCACTTTGGTGCCAAGTTCTATGTTGAATCCAGACAGACATATATGGTTCCTATGACCTTTGCAAAATTGATGATATTGATATAGAAGTCTGAGGTTAAGGATCTTGGATTAGTTCTTTCTTCTGACCTATCCTGGTCTTGCTATGTCTTAGAGATTTCTAAAAGAATATATCGTCTGACTTTTTACATTAAGAAGTTAAGGCACTCTGGAATAACCCGACTTCTCCTCTCAAAGTCTGTCAACTCGTGCATCTTACCTATTCTTCTATACTGTTCACCCCTGCTTATTCTCTCCTGGATTGCTTAAAAATGACTGTCATACTTCGTAGAACTTTGAAGACTGCCAGTAGGACGAGTGGTATCCAACTGGGCCATATCGTTGACATTGTCACTGATAGGCACATGATGTCATGCAACAAATTTGCTAAAGGAATTTTGTCACACTCTAAGCACCCACTCTACCGGCAGCTCCAACTTTGTGTCTCTTCAGGTAAAACAAGAAGTCTTTTCAGAAAACTTTATGCACATACGTCTAAGAATAAAAATTCCACTATAGCATATTTGGCGGCACGTACTTTATGTGAGGAAAATGGTGTTAGGCATGAACTAACTAACTAACCTTCTATGCACTATTAAGTAAACCATTTCTTCCACCCAAACTTTGTTATTGTATTTCTTATATTTATAATCCTCTCAATTTTTTGTTTTTATTTATTTTATTTTTCATAAGTATGAACATCGTTTAAGCTGTGTTACCACTGTTAATCTTGTATTTCCCCTCACTATACTATATCAACAGAACGTTAGATTCAATAATCTATAATAACATGCTGAAATTTCCAAACTGAATCGACAATACTGTTTGAAACAAACTCACTGTTACTTTTATTATTATTATATTTAATACTCTCAATTCGTGCTTCGAATATTTTTGACTTTATATCCTAAACTTGGAGAAATTCTTCTTGTTTATTTTTGTTTTAATTTTTAGTTTTATTTATATTTTAAGTAAATCAGATGCAATATTGTGACAAATGCTGAGAATTCCATTCTGTATTATAAGTACTGTTTTTGGAATAAAGTAAATTATATATATATATATATATATATATATATATATATATATATTGATCACTGATCTATTCTTCGACTGACTGATTTCAACACAGAACTTTGCTCAGGTGCAGCAGTTCAAGATACCACACTTCATAGAAAGTGTACAAAGGAAGACAAAAGAGAAGGAAGAATAAAAGGTCCCAAAGAACAATAATAAAAAGAAATTACGGAAGGGAGAATAGTAACATGGAAAAACATGAAGGTTTAACAGATATGGGAAATCACAAAGAGTGCCAGCCATTGAGAAGCATTTCGAGCCACATCATCAATTATCTCCAGCCAGTGGTTCTTACCATCTCAACGACCCCAACCATGAAGTTTACACCTGCCTACATGATTCAAGGATTTAACAGACTTATGTCGGGTTTTGGTTTAGCCAGCGCTAGCTCTTTTCCAAACTGATCCCATGTCAGCCAATATTGCCTGTCGAGGAAAGCGAATGGTTAGACATGCGTAACACCTGTCCTAACCATCTCAATCGATAGAATACAGATAACTGCGATCAAAGACAGCTAGCCTTTGCATATCTTTCGCTTTCAATAGCCATATCTCACAGCCATAAAGGAGGATGGAACGAACTACTGTCCAGTACACACGTCCTTTGACCGATGGCCAGTCGACGATAACGTCTAATGCAGAGATGACGTAAGTTTCCAAATGCAACACAAGTCTTTTGTATTTGTGCGGAGATGTCGACAGCAATCAGTTTATTAGGATTGATTCAACTTCCTAGACAAGTGAAGTGGTCAATGCAACCGACCTATTCACTCCCAATCTTTAAACTAGGAGTCAGTGTATTCCATTTGTGTAGCATCATCTTACATTTGACAGAAGCAAATCACGGCTCAAACATTTAGAGACTGCTGCTTCTGGTGTTAAGAAGACTCTTCATTTTACCAGAGTCCTCATCAGTGCGGAGGACTATAGCATGTACATATTTTACGTCAACAAGACCATTCCCCAGCAACAAGTCGATCCCTAAAACACGGAGTTAACTGGAGGCTATTCCCTAGATTACATTACTATTATTACAAACACAGTGCAGCTAGGAACTGCATTGATTTTAATTGAGATACAAATCAAAGCATGTGTACACTGTACAGCAGTACACTCTGTCTTTCATTAAGACAGTGAGATATGATCATTGAAAGAGGGAGATAGGGAAAGGCTAACTGTCTTTGACCAGAGTAGTATAACATGGTAAGTGATAATAAGGTAAGACATAAACTGCTAGGTAAGGAATGGAAGCCAATTGATGAAGTTGTAAAGCTAAACTCATTGGCATGACTAGGACACGTGCTCCGTATGCCAAGCGACCACCTTCCACGAGGAGTAATGCTAGATGATGTAAAATTGACAAATGAGCAGACCGAAACCTACCATCAACTTATGGAGTCTTTAAATATTCATTTGAGTTGTGTATGGGGACCAGGGATAATAAGAACCATTGGTTGAAGACTACTGGTGATATGGCGCAAAATCGTTCTCAATAGCTAGTGCAGATGCATTCATTCTTTGTGATGTATCATATCCAATAAAATTCTATTGTCCTTCCATGTTATTGCTGTTTTCCCCCACACTTGTGCTTAATATCTCTCTTTACTGTCTTCTCTCGTTTTATGTGCTACATGAAGGATGTGTGGTAAGTCGAACTGCTGCACATCTGTGTATAGTTCTACATTGAAGCTAATCAGTCAGTCAGTATGGCTAGTTACTTGAAGCCTCAAGTTAAGTTGAGATGTACAATTATCGGCATCGACCTTTCCTACCCATACCTCTTCTCCAGAGAGAGAGAGAGAGAGACGACAGGCAGCTTAGCTGGCATGTTACTCATCTGAGGGAAACACCTTACTACTGTTACATCCCCATTCTCTAACAGTGTGATTTCACCAACAGATCCCCAAAACATAGCGTAAACAACTTAAACCATGACGACAACTGCCTATTAGTCTGTCTAATCACTGTTCAAACAATCTTTTTGGCATAGTTGGACCGGCAGGAACATCAGTTCCAGTCAGTGTAGGTGACGGAGTCATTGCAGTTAGCTAATCCGACACTCACTGAGGAGGCCGCCGCTGGGTGACATCATGCGCGCGTCAGGCCATTGCTCGAGTTGAACCCGACAGAATGGGAAGCGGTGAGTGGAACGTCAGTGCAAGGGTGACATGGAGGAGATCGTGTGAAGAGGAGGAGTTGAAACAGTACGGACTAACATGGATGCAGGTGAAAAGTACACCAGAAGATAGAAGCAAGTGGAGATGTGCAGCTGAAGCCCTATGTGTTCCACTAAAAACCCAAAGGAATAATAATACTAATCCGACGAGTGCATCAAGACAACAGTTATCGACTGAGTTGTGTCAATGATTCAACGGTAGAATGGTCACTAACCGTGCAAATTTGTTTGAATTTGACTCAGGACCGACATACTCCTAAACCTAAGACTAATTTACTAATCAGTAATAAAACCCAGAAAAGATGGAAAGTTGGCGGGGGCTGTGGCTGTTGAGATTAGCGACCCCACTCCCTCAATAAATAACACCAACAACACTACCACCAACAGAACTTCAAAAAGAGCTTGAAGGTGTTTATGTTCTAGTCTGAAGGCAAGGAATGAAAAAGAAAATCTTTGAAAATTATACACATCATTATCAACAGACAAATAGGGGATACCACACATACACGCACACACACACACAAAACACTTACCTGTAATAGTCATTCCTTGTATTTCACGAATAGGAATTGTCGACGTGGTCAACTCTTTCGTAGAAACTTGTGATGATGATTTCGATGATGAGATACCATCATTGTTGTTGTTGCTGTTATAAGTATGATTATTATAACTATTACCATTGTTAGCTCCTGTATTACTACTATTATTATTATCATCATTAATATTATTATTGTTGCTGACATCATCTTTATAGGCTATGCCTCTGTATCCTCCTGATAAATTATTATTATTATTATTATTAGCATATTGATAATGTTCATGATAATAAGTGATTGGAGCATTTAACGATGGACTAACATTATGCTTAACTGAATTCACTGCTGTCAACAAATTACGATTCGATGTACGCCACTGGTCATGCGCGCATGGATTATCAATATTTGTTACCAGACCTTTAGCATCATTTACCATTGGTGTAATAGCTAGAAAAAAAGAGAAAGAGAGAGAATAGGGGAAAAACAGAAATTAACATCTTCACTTTTACTCCAAAATAGAGAAACGAAACATAATCGTAAAACTAAAACAGCTTTTGTCCCATGATCTATTAGCGTGGATTAGTGAGCAATTTGTACGACAGAGTCAGGAAGCTATGTTCACTAAACAACGTCGAAGAAGAATTAGATTTAGTCGAGAAATGCCTAAGGGAAAATGGATACCCTAAGGGATTTATCCAGAAGTAAAGCAGAGTGTTTATTTGCCTCCGATTCAAAGGTGATGCAGTGTCACAAAGGATTGACAAAACACTGAAAGGTGCAATCTGTTTGTCTGTCTGTCTGGATTCAACATAGAACTTGGCACCAAAGTGCACCAGTTCGAATTGCCACGTTCCGAACAGCACACAAAGGTAGACAAGAAGATGAGTGAAGAGAATCAATACAGTCTGACAAGTATAAGAGTAAAACAGAATGGATAGTGGTAGAAAGGAATATGAAAGATTACAGAGACTGAATACATCTGCGCTGGCTATTGACAACGATTATGAGCCATGTCACGTATTTTCTCCAGCCATTGATTCCTAGAGTCCCGAGGGCCTCGACCCGGGATTCTGCATCTCCCTACCTGACTGACTCAGTTTAACTGTCAAGGATTTCATGGATTGATGAGGCCATGTTTTTGTTTGGCCACCACTGGCTCTTTTCCAACCTGCACGTATATCAGCTAGTAATGCCCGTCGACGTGGGGAGGCGATGGTTAGGCATTCGCAGCACATGACCTAGCCATCTCAGTCTATGTAACTTTTAAGCCTCGTCGATTGATTTTCCCTGTTTGCCCAACACTCTACGCCTAACGTCAACATTACTTACCTTGTTAAACCACCTAACATGAGAAAGAGATCGTAGACATCTATGATCGAAAACAGTCAACCTTTTGATGTTTTGAGCTGGATTGCGTCAATCAACCTTTTCATGTCTTCAACGCGTATTGGCCATGTTTCAGAGCCATAGAGAAGGACGGAGCGAACTGATGAGCAGTACACACGTCCCTTGGTTGATAACCGGATGTCACGCCTACGCCAGAGATGGTGTAAGTCAGCGAAAGCAGCTCGAGCTTTTCGGATCCGTGCTGAGATTTCATCGCCAATCAGTCCGTTGGTGCTAATACAACTTCCCAAATAGGTGAAGTGGTCAACATGTTCTATCACTTCACTCCCTATCACTAAGTTAGGAGTTGACGTGGTCCAGTCCTGTAGCAGCATCTTACATTTTGCAGGGGCGAATCGCATGCCAAACATACGAAGATTGCTGCTCAAGGTGTTCAGAAGACTCTGCATTTTGTCAGCATCCTCCCCTAACAGGACTATGTCATCTGCATATTCTAAGTCCATAAGACTATTCCCTGGTAACAAGTCGATTCCTAAGTCATTACGTTCAGTTAAGGATACTTCCATCAGCATATCTATGATGAAGTTAAACAGAAATGGGGAAAGTGGACATCCCTGTCGGACACCACTGGTTGTTACCAATTCAGATGACAATTCCCCATAAGCCCTTACACGACTACGTGAGTTTGAATAGAGTGCCTTGATTAGTGCAATGTACTTTCTTGGCACTCCCTTCACAGTCAGACATTGCCATAGTACCTTTCGATCCACGGAGTCGAAGGCCGCCTTCAAGTCAAGAAATATGACAATTGTTGGACGCCGAAAAGTGTGTCTATGTTCTAGAATCTGTCGAAGAGTGAAGATATGATCTATGCACCCTCTACCTGGTCTAAAGCCTGCTTGATTTTCCCTTGTCTGTTCCTCCCGAGTTCTGCTTAGTCTATGCATGATTACTGAGCCTAGGATTTTAGAGACTATGTTCGTTAGGCTGATCCCCCTATGATTATCACACGAGGACTTGTTTCCCTTCTTGAATATCGGTATAATAAGTGACTTACCCCAGTCTGATGGCACTGTCTCTGATTCCCAGACTTTGCCTAGTACCTCAGTTAATCTACAAACTAGTATGTCACCCCCATATTTAAACACCTCCGGAATAATTCCGTCGGGTCCTGCCGCTTTGCCTCGTTTCAAATTACTGATAGCTTTTGTGACCTCACTTACAGACGGCGGACCAGTGTCTATATCCCATTCGGGTGTGTGTGGATGTCGGGGAGGTTCAGTGTGGCTGTAGGCAAGTTAAATTGTTCCTCAAAGTGTTCTTTCCAGCGTTCAAGGCGTCTATCCTGAGAGCTAATTAAGGAGCCATTTTTCTCAGAAATAGTCTCACTTATGATTGCCTTCTCCCACCCGTTTCTGATGAGTCTAAAGAGTTGCCTAGTGTTGCCTATCGCCGATGCTTTTTCCATCTCTTTGCCTTTGTCACCCACCACTGTTCACGGTCCTTGCGGAGACTTTTAGTAAGTTTCCTTTTGTGCAGCTTTCGCTCCTCATTGAATTCGGAGCTCGCCGGAATAAGTCTTCTAGCATCTATCAGTTCGGATGAGGCAGTCGAAATCCAGTGGTTTTTACTCACCTTTGGATTTCCTTATTCACAGCTTTTACAGCTGTATCTATAGCTGACTGAATATTCTTCCAGGCTTCTCCAGGGTGAGCACAGCTGTCGAATTCAGATATGCGTTTAGCTAGTTCTTCCTCAAATAGGGATTTAGTTTCCTGATCGAGCTGGGGACGTGATGGTTTTACCGCCAGCTGTTTCCTACGTCCGTTCAGTCGTAAGCACACACGAGCCCGGACCAGTGCGTGATCGGTATCTACACACGTGTTCCAGAAGGAGCGACAATCTCCTACCGACCCACGCCAACGATAGCTTATTGCTATGTGGTCTATTTGTGTCCAGCGTTGGTTTGATGATGGGGGTCGCCAGGTTAAACAGTGTCTCTCCTTGTGTTTAAAGTTAGTGCTTACAAGAAACAAATGATTATCTGAACAGAACTGTAGGAGACGGTCACCGTTGTCGGTTCGCTGGCACGGAACTCCATAGGTGCCACCGACATCCTTCTCAGATTGACACAATTTCCCTACTTGAGCATTAAAGTCACCAGCTAGAACGACTATATCTGAGCGTTTAGCCTTTCGCACCAAACTAGACAGCTTTTGGTAGAACTCATCTTTCGTTTCATCCGAACTGCAGTCAGTGGGGTCAATAAATAGAAGCTTCCCACGTGCAGCTAAACTCATAACAGTATACAGCACCACTCCTTCTATAAGCCACTCAAAACTGGATAAATACCCTGCTGATGTCACTCCAACGGTGTTTATGAAATTACGTGCACTTGCGAGAGCAAGTACATTGGAAGGACAGAAAGAAGGGTTTCTATCCGGTTTTCTGATCATATTCCAAGAGACCTGTGCCTGAAAGGAAGCTAATATTCTCAGAATGCAATTACCAGATATATTGTTGATACCAGACATCTCGTAGAGATTTTTAAGTCCTTCAAAAAATATTAAATAGTCAAAAGACAGCAAATTTGCTACGATTTGCACAGACGATTGCAATCAAACGATTCACACTAACCAGACTTATGCACACAGAAAAAGAGTGTGATTAACCTCTCACTCCCTTGGTAACTGAATTTTGATTTTGACTAGTCATCTCATTCAGTGATCTCAACTCACTGAACAAATCTTAATCTTATAAACTGTAACCACTTTTGTTTTTTGAGTCGCTAGGTGAATCTACAAACTAATAGTGTTTTGTTAATTATTTTCTTCTGTTTTCTGTCTTACCCCTCCCCCCTCTTTTCATCTTTAAAAGCGCATAAATTGATGATGAAATCTTAAACTAAAAATTGTAATGCTTTCATTTTGGATGCGTCAGTTTTATAGTATCTCTTCTCTACTACCACTCATCTATATAACCATTGTAATTTCAGGTAGTCTGCAGCTGGTGGGAACCTGTGAAATAGAATGATATTTTATACTGATATTTCATCTTCCTTTCTTTATCGAAATTTATCAAGGGAGCCAGTTGTGTGAAATTTTTTTTGGTTTTAAAGTAATTGATTTCATATCTTTATTCTTCAATCTGTACTGGATTGTCAGTGGTGTTTGTGACTGTTACGACGGAGTGTTACTGTATTGTATGATATTGGAATTTCTCAGAGAATTAAGCCATAAATAGACGAATCAAAACTATCCAATACGGTTATCATGTCAGTATACATGCATAAATTATGACTTCACGGTTAATTAAGAAGCTTGTCGGTTATAACAGCAACATGTCATTGATTGGCTGATTGATTAATGAACCATAATCTCTCAATGTACATTTTGTCAATCAAAAAAAAACCCCAATGAAAACATCAGGGAGCACCGGACAACTGTATCAGCCTAGTTTCGAGCTGTTCAGCAGTGTGCGTCACCTAAGTTCGAACCCAGGACATTTCGAATGCAAGGTAAGATCGTTGAATATTTTCCAACCAGTGGGCTGGAATTCAAATGACTCATCAATTCTAGCTTCCGTGAATTTCTGATAATGTGTTACTCGTCAACTAATGTTATTAATAAGTAGCCACTTCAATATGACATTTGTCCAACAGCCGTTAAATGAGCTGCAGATTGATATACACAGTATCATGAAAAATGACTCCTAACTATTGTGTAAATCTTTCAAGTCTGTGTAGAAGTAAATAGCACTCAGCATGAAAGATAAGATCCAGATTTTTAACTCCAATGTGAAGTCAGTGCTACTTACTATACGGATCACAGACTTGGGATGTCATGAAGAGCAATTCAAACAAACTACAGACCTTCATCAACAGCTGCCTTCGCTAAATACTACTCAAGATCAGCAACAGGGAGGGACTTCTAGCAATGAACGAACCAATTGTTCAACAAATATGCAGGAAGAAATGGAGATGGATTGGTCATACTCTGAGAAAACAAATCATCAAGTGACATCACACGTCAGACCATCACTCGAGTGGAACCCAGATGGGAAGCGGCGAGTTGGTCATCAGTGCGAGGGTGAGGTGACAT